ATATTGCCATTCATAGGTAAGTTACCCCTCTTTGAAGTGTTTTGCTACAACGTACTAGATATAGCTGCAAGCGTTTTAAAGAAGGGCTGAGAGGGTTTATTTTAAAACTTTGTTTTATAGTAGGAATGGCTTAAAATTTTTGTAGTCATCAATTAACAAAACACGAAACATCGACAAATATTTTACCCACAGCTTCAAAAGCTTTTGGGTATGCTATGAATTTCAATAAAGTTCTAGTTATGTTTACTGAGTGTAAGTACCACATTCGAGAAAACAAACAGAAATTAAAGTTAAAGCTTACGGAGAATCAGTAACGAATGAAATGGAAGTTGAAGATAATTTGCGTATTAATAGGAAGGACCAAAATGAAGAGGGTAGAACTGACTGCTTTATCTGAGGGAGATAATTTCATATCAATTAGTCATTTGCTTGCGATTGAATGGAAAGGAAGAAAGTTTATTAAAAACTCCACTTCTTTTCACTTTCTAAACCAGGTGCTTAATAACCATTCTGATCACGATCATTAGGCACCTTCCCTTTTCCGGGTTAAGAGTGCTATACAATTCTTGTCAAAGGACTGGCTAAAATAATGCTGCATGACCACTTGAGCAGTACCTTAGTAAAAAGCCATCGCGTTAAGAGGAACAGACGAGCTCAATGAAAGAAAATTTAAATGAAATACTTGAAACATGCTTCTATAGCCTTTTGTGTTCCCATGACGACTGAAGACCGTAAAGACTGAGTACTTTGAAGATGATTGCATCAATCATAGAAAGACCAAAACTAAATGCGCCTAAGAACAAAACCTTTCTCTATAATGACGGATATTGAAGAAAGATGGCCTTGAGAAGTTGAGCAAAAGCTTTTGGCGGAAGCTTTTCAGTTTTTTCCTTTGTCTCGATTTTTTTTAATGATAAATGGAGTTCCGTTTACTCGCGACATAGATTGACAGAGTCAATTACTTGATGTGCAGCATCTAAGCCGAAAATAATATCGTCGCTCAATCATGGTCTTATCAAGTTTTTCAGTATTTCTTGCCGCTCTAAACTTCTCTCTTTCCATCACCACATTCCTGGGCAATGTCGTGATCCTCTTTGCCCTTCGTAAGGTGAATTCTATTCGACCTCAAACAAAGCTGTTGTCTCAATGTTTGGCAGTCACTGATCTTGCCGTTGGACTTACTACCCAGCCTCTTCTGGCAATAAGTTTCATTCCAGGGGCAGTTGAAATGAATACAATTCTATATCTCCTCAGATACCAAGTTTCTGTACCGATGGGTATTTTTTTGCTAACAGTTTCTGTCCTGACAACGACCGCAATATGTGTGGACAGGCTTCTCGCTCTTCTCTTAGGGCTGCGATATCATCAAATTGTCACATTCAGGCGTGTCCGACTAGTTCTATTTTGTTTTTGGTTGCTGAGTAGTGTAGTCATTGGATTGAGATACAGCACAGGATACGTTGAAACAGCCCGCTCCATGCTTATTGCCTTGATGTTACTGTCCTTACTAGTATCGTTAGTCTCTTACGCGAAAATCTATCGTCGTCTACGACATCAACAACAGCAAGTACAGATCCACGTGCCACAACCACAGCCTCAACCACGAAATGGCGAAGCAATTTTACTGAACATAGCCCGATACAAGAAGACGGTTTCTAGTATAGTATGCGTGCAGCTTGCGCTAGGTTTTTGCTATCTTCCATATATGTCAGTGGGCATGCTGTTAACAAACAGAATAATACCTCCGACCGCCTGGGGTTCATTATTTCTTAGAGCTACGATAACAATTCTGTGCTTAAATTCAACTCTAAACCCGATTCTTTATTGCTGGAGGATAAGAGAGGTAAAACAAGCGGTGAAGAGCACGATCAGACAATTAAGCTTGTGTTAAAAATTGAGGTAACTGCAATGCAGGACTATTGAAACATGCTTTTCCGGATGAATTGTGTTGAGTTGACTTACTGAATTAACTCAGAAAAATGAATTTTTTTCTGAGTATGATTCCTACAATTCTCTTTCTGAATCATCCGAGTTGTTCCCAACCTACAAAGCGGTCAAAACATGAACCATAGATTCTACGTAACAAGGGCGTACTCTTTTGATCTGTTCTTCACAAACATGAACAGCTAATTGCTAACATCAATCGCTTTTCATCACCTGATGACTTAATTATTAAAAACTGACGACTCCTCACATTCAGGGAAACGATCCAGAAAACAAGGTTATCTACTGTGTGGTTATTGCGCGTGGTGAATATAGTTATATGCTAGTTTTGTGACAAACTTTCCACTAAAATCCTTCTGACTTTCTCTTCAGAAGCAGAACATCGCTGATGTTAGATAAAGAGAGGATGTAAATACACACTTCGCGGAAAGAGAAAAAGAATAAAGAAAACTTTGGCAATGAAATAGTAAAAAAGGTCGACTATTCTTTTAATGGAGTTATCATCTTCAAGCAAAATTAATTTAAGAAATAGCTCATCCTCATTACTGATGCCGCACAGAAAATACGTTACCAGTGCAAGTCTTCGTCTGCACAAAAGAAAGATAAAATTCATTTTCGTTCAACTACATACAACCGAATCGTCACTTACGTGCTGCTTTAGCAAAAGAAAACAAAATAGTAAGAATAAAAAAATTGACAGATAAAGTGAAAAAAATGAACAGTAATACGTTCAAATCTCTTAGCTATTTTCAGTGAAGGTTCTGTTTGTTAAACAAACGAATAAAGGAGAAAAATTTCTTATGAAACAGTGGTGATGCATCGGCAGGGGTATCACAAGAAACTCTAGTCTTATTAACTACGTTAATGGTGTAAATTGGCCACCGTGGAGAGTTTCTACAGCTGACGTTGCGAGCGTTTTCTCTTCGTATTTTGCTCTGACGAAGAGCTGACGCTCGAAATATCAGCTGTAGAAACTCTTTACTTTATTTACTTTATCAACTTAGTTGACAAAATTAAATTGTTTGTTATACAGCACATTTTAAGAGCACTGAAACTGCTCACTTTTCATCAAGTGTGTGAAACACGCCGAGATTTCCTGCCACCCTACATCGAAAACTTTGAGGGTTTCTAGGCAATATCCACTTAGCATTTTCCGGTTGAAACTGAAAAAACAAAACGTGTAATTTCGGATGGAAAATAGCTTCTCCAGTCAAATGGGAGATTTCCCACACTCAGAATCCTGGCTATTAATAATATTCTTATTAGTCCATGGCTTCCTTAACCATAATCAATGATTGTGAATATATGATAATCGTCTATGTAAACAGCGGTTTAAGAAATGAATATTAGTGAAAAAAAGGCCTGACAAAAAAAAACCAGGCCTGTAAGGAATTGAAACCCAGCCTTATTTTCACTACTGCCTTGAACATCGCTTTCATATTCATTTCCTAAACCGCAGATCACAGATACGTGATTTTCATATATTCGCATATTCGTATATTCATCATTTCACGGGTTTATTACAAACCAACATTATAATTATCTTACAGTTGGCTTGTTAGCTCAGTTGGTAGAGCACTGCACAGGTAACGGAGAGGTCTGGATTTTTTAGAGGCCCTCTTTTCACTACTGCTAAAGTAGTAGTCATTACTGCGAAGATTGTTTTAATAGCCATTTTCTAATCACAATTTGGCTGGTTTTTTTTTCCATTCATATATGTATTTAGCGAAATACTCAGACACGCCGATCATGTAAAATAGAACTCATGATCTAACTTGAGAACTGAAGATGAGATTATGCAATTTTTGATGCCATTCGGGAAATCAGAAATCACATTCCGGATTCATTTTTTCTTTAAAACGTCATGAAACTTAGTCAAAACTTTTTTTAGCGCATGGCTTAATTTCTATTTCTCGTCCGGCTTTCAACGAGCAAAATATTATTTCAATCTTGTTTTCTAGTCACCATATTCCCACTAGTAGCGTTGCTCCATTTCCTGCATATAGACACACACATCCCACAATTCCTCCAATCGCTCTGACGAAGGGCTAACGCTCGAAACGTCAGCTTTTAAACTCTTTACGGTGGCCAATTAACCTTATCAACTCAAATGATAATAATAAATTACCTTGTTACACTCTCCTACGGATCGCGACGCAACTCCACAGTTTTTTTAGGAACTTACCCCCTCTATTATTTTAATGGATGTTAGCACCGTCAGCTTCGTTGTTCATTGGTAAATGTTGACATATAGACAGACTTTTAGATCCAGGTGAGAGTTTAGCATCTATAGGTATTCTTGCTGAGATGGTTGGTCAAAGCGTGCGAAATGATTACAAGTATATGACTGAATGTCATCTAACAAAACGATGTGTTCTTTTTAATGGCAGAAATGTGGTTCGAGTTTAAACTCCAGCTATGATTTCAATGTAAGTGTCAGATTTTTTTTCCGTCGGGCTAGTGTTGACCTCAGATTTGATAACGTGGGTTGGACATGGTTAGACTCAAGAAGTGGGGAGAAACACTCAACTACGTCTTGTGTTTCTCCCTACACTTCTTTCGTGCTCTAGCCGCTTCCTGCGTGCTTTTAACAGAACAGAGCACAGTCATGGCTTCTCTGCTTGTTGATTGTAGGCGAATTAATAGAGCAATCGAGATAGACATATGAGAAAATCATCATGTAACGTATGGAGGAGTGCGTAATAAACTTCGGATAAAATTAGCATGTGCTGGCATTCATGTCTTCCAGGGTTCATTCAAATAGACACTTTCAAAATTTGGTCTTTGAGGGGTGGGCTGGTGTTTGTACATCATTGCGAAGGGAGAGAGGGTCGCTGAGTCTTTGCTGAGAAAAAAATCATGACGCCTCTAGGAAATAATTTGATGTTCTAAGTCTCTTTCCTCAATCACAGAGCATAATGTTCTTTCTTTAAAAACAATAAAACAGACAAATCCTGACCTTAAGATCCAAGGTAGCGGTTTATTATTTTTGTTCAAGTCATTAATTCTCTGTTGCATAATATGCCTAATCAAACAAATATTCCTAAACCAGAGCAAACAAAGTCAAATGTGACACGACAAGTAAAGAAGCATTACTTACAAGCAATTGATTCTACTGTTCATCGATAGGAAACAGCTTAAACTTCCTGAGTCCTCATTTTGAGGGTAAGTCTGCACAATCGTTTATAACCGTCGGCTTGTCGAATTTCATCGCGATAGTGATTGTAAAACAAGAATGTCTTTGTTGCTTTTCTGTTTCGCTGAACTACGAAGGAATTTGGTCTTCAAGCAATAAACAGGGTTTTCGCCGAATTGAAATGGAACATTTCCAGAATTGTCTCCTGTTTAAAATTATCCACCGCTTACAATATCTGAGGGCTACTCTGACTTCAAGTTGGACCAGATTTTCCTCTCATAATAGCGATAGTACCTTTAAAACATTCCTCAAAGCAAATGTCTTGAAACTTAATGGTTGTTGGATCGATGTATTCTTCCATACAAAAGGCAATTCCAAGACGTGATACATACAGCATAATAGCTCTACATCACTGACGATGAAGTTTCCATGTCAGCTTTGGACACAAATTAGTTTACCATTTCCGATTATTCTCTCAGAAACCGTCACTGATCCCTTATGTTCTCTAAATGCAGCAATCAGTAAAACACTCAATAATCAGTACTCTCTCTTTCAAAGGTACCCACCACTAGTTACCGAAAATTACCCTAATTTCAAAGTGAACAACAAATTGTCCTCATAACAGCGATAATATCTCAAAATAGCTCACCAGCAAATGTTCTAAACTCAAAGTTTGTTTGAGATATTCCTTCGCACCAGAGGCAATTTGCAGACATGTGATTAACACATTCAGCAGCTGCATAGTTCAACTTAATTAACGATCATGTTGTTTGCATGATGCAGTAAATTTAGGAAACAAATCAATACCTCATTTCAAATAATTCTCTCAAAAACTTTAATTCATCTTCCGTAAACGTTTTCAGATCAACTGTTGACCACGCACAGACCAGGAGCAGTGGCGTGAAGGCCTTTGGGATATGCCATCTTAGACTTCGAAGCAGTAGTGTATATGAAATAACTTGGAACAAATCCGGCCAACTTTATAGCGAGACGTCTTTCAGTGTCAAGCAAAAAAAACTCGACAAAATTATGAAAAAGTAAGCTTTGATCAATTTTACAAGATTCACATCGTAGCAGATGGAAGAAATTATTTGAAGAAAAATAAGAAACGGGCAATAATTGACTCTCAGCTTGTTCAGTCATTCTTGAAAGAGTAAATTACTAATTATAAATAGACTCTCATCTACGGTAAAAGCAATTTTCTCTTTCATATGAGTGTAGAAGCATCCAACGGTAAATAACAAGAAGTTCAATTTTTGCCGTTGCTATCTGCGTACAAAAGCTCTTACTACTGAAACAGAAAATCGCATTTATATTTCATTGATATGATACATTGTACCTCTTTTGGGAATAACCACTATTAATACAAATTTACTTGTGTTCCATCACAAATGCTGCAATCTGATTGGCTACACTCCTCGCTATCTATTCCTTAATGGACAGCAAATAAAGAGAGGATATTATGATCCTCGTGCAATGAATTCAGTGAGTTTTCTACTTACTTTTAGTAAATAATTAACCGTATCTTGTCAGGATAAGCAGCAGTCGTGCAGTATATGAGGTAAACTTACATGGAGCCAGTGGCACAGTGCCTGGGCCGATTTGCGCGGATAACATGAGAGTGAGGCAACGAGAACAAACGTCGTCCATTCCAGGAAAATCTTTGGTAAGATGTTTGAAAGAATAAGAGGCAACAGCGTAGTTGATTTAATATAAACTTGAAGTACGAATGAATGTTGCAAAACTCAACAGAACAGGGTTTTCAAGAAAGTGCCATTTTCGTTCAAATGTAGCATGACTGAAAGCAACTTGAGGCCTCCTCAGAGAAGAAGCAAGAAAACTGTCGGAGGTTTTGGGTTGAAACGTACTTTTGAAGCCTCCAAACTGTGATTCTGTTGAAAGAAAAATACCCCTATTTCCTCACATTTCTTTAAATAAACCTCGTCACGCGTTGTGCTATTTCGGCATCATTCAGCAACGTCTATTCAAAACTTGCTTGTAACACACATGTAATCTGCATATCGCTAATTCTCACATCTCATTAAAGGCTTTCAGTTCAGATGGACACTCAGTTCAAACGGCGAAATCGTGTAGTTTTTTTAAGTCTGTCAGACGTACGGCCCCGTCAATCATACCCGATCAGCGGCGTTCTCCCTGAAGCCAGTCAAAAGAGTGCCTTCCTTGAATCTGTTTCATTTGAACCTGGTCAACTTTTCAGAAAGTCTTCTTAAACGGGAGGTACCATTAGTTTAGATAACTCTCTAAACTATCTACAATAGTACACTGATTCAGAAATTCTCCTTCAATGGGAGGTATCATTAGTTTAGATCACTCTCCACAATAATACACTGATTCATAAAGTCTTCTTTAATGGGAGACATCATTAGTTTAGATAGCTCTCTACAATAGTAAACCGATTCGTAACGCACAGGAACTTATAATGTATACTCTTATTTCAGAATCCACGCAAAGAGAGCGAAACGAAGTTCAAATTTACCAAGTTTCCGGTGCGCAAACAAGAAGCCATTATTGATAAAGACGAAGGCACTTCTTCCGGTTCTGTAGAGTGACACCTTGTGTCATACAAGAGAAATATCCACCACTTTGGCTTTGTATTGACCAGCTCCGCCAAGATTTTGTTTAAATTATGATTACTATACTTGGAAAAAATCTCCCAGTAAACGCCATTGTTGAAGTTTAATTTACATTATAGGCTACTAATGATTTCCATTGAGCTGCAATACAAGGGTACACAAAGCGACACAACCACGTTCCTCTGACCCCCTAAGACAATAAATAGAGTTTTAAATGTTTCCCTAAAATCAAGCAAATTAACACTGACTGGGTGATAATTATAAACTATGTAAATGCACGTTATTGCAGCACCGACAACTCTGGCTTTGTCCGTCGAAATGCTTCAAAACTGAGAGAGACTGGAATTGTATGTTAGAGATAGCTCGATATGCATGCTTGAATGATCATGTGCTATGTTTAATGAATATTAGTGACAGAGAGCGGATACATTTAACGCAGCAAGGACAACATATTTCTCATAAGATAGGATAATTACAAGAAGGTAAAGTGCTATATAATCAAATTGAACAACGCAAAGGTGCTTCAAGAAGTCCAAGATAGCGAAACACTTACCTGCTTTCGTTCCGTTAGCTGCTGAACTTATATACTGAAACTCCATACCAAGGAACTCATTTTTGCGAAGCCAGTTTTATTTCATCTAGAGAAGTCCCGCTATTGTAGTTTGCTCTCATCATTACAGGATTTAAAAATCTCATTCGTCGACAGAGGTGGAAGATTTTGGTGTAAACAAACCATTTGCCAGTTTTTCAATCCCAATGGATGACGCTTCCAGAAATCGCTCAGTTGTTTTGAAGATTTTTGTCATATTGGCATTCACAGGTAAGTTATCCTTCTTTGAAGTGTTTTGCTACATTAATTGTACTAGATATAGCTGCGAGCGTCTTAAAGAAAGGCCGATAAGGTTTATTTTAAAAATTTCTTGTAAAGTAGGAGTGGCTTACAATTTTGAAAGTCATCAATTAACAAGACATGAACAGTTTAAGTTACTGTAATTAGGAAATCGTTCTAAAAAGCAAATCGCAAAAGTAAAATGATGATTTAAATCAACCCGATATCATTCACAAAATATGCTCAATATCAAACAATTATTAAAATTTTAGGCAGTCTGTTCGAAACCAGGAATATCTTAAATTGCAATAAAAGGAAAGTTCTTTCTAGAGAAAGTAAAATTCAAAAAGACGAAGTAATTTGAGAGATCTATTGTTATAATTATTTTGAATGATCGACAGCTTGCATTACGTCACGTCATTACAAGCTAGTTAGCATTTGAATCAGTCAACGCTTTTGGTAACAATTCAGACGCTGTTGTTACGAGAAATTTCTTGAATGGCATTTGATAACTCTACTCCGATGAGCTAGGTAATTGCACAACAAAACCTCCTGCCTTGACTTTTCACAGCTTTAAAACAATATATTCATATCGTAATGGCATCGAATATTAATTAATGTTTACACTTTGTTTTCGTTCATACTAACCAATCAAATTGTTATCTTATCAACACTCGCTCATTAAATCATTTTTTGATAGTATCTCTTTGTTTTTCCTGATTTTGTTTATATTACCATTTTCTAATTTTTGTTTAAAAAATTCGCATTTTTACACATCTCATAAATTTTACGGGGGGATCAGTCGTCACTAACAAAATACCTCTGGCTTTAGGTTTTAATTTACCCGTGATCAAAGAAAACTGAGTCATCAGACAGATCCTTTGCATTTTTAAACTAATGAAATACTAATATATAGTAAAATGTAAAATATGATATAACAGTATTGGGGAGGGGAGAGGGGGTCGGACTTTGTCAATCAATTTTGGACCCCAGCCCATCCCCCTCCCTCTCTTTCCTTTCAGGCGAAAAAAAATTGGTCCCTCTGTCACTCACGAATTTTTAAAAACACCTTTTTTCTTTAGGGCTGACATATGGTAACAAGCTGGACGACTTGCTGAATGATGATAAACTACGTAAGTTTTACCACGAGTACAAATTGCAACTATCACCTCTTTCAGTAAACGCTAACTGAATGAAAGTGCCAGCTCTTGTATTTCTTTACTTAACTAACATCTACTTACGAGTAAGCTCTGCCACAAGAATTTGCACACTCGTGATTTGTATTTATTATGATTTACCATCGTCATTATCTGTAATCAATGGCGTAGTTAAGAAAGGGAGGAGGTGCTTATGACCTATGTCTTCGTGAGGAAAATTTGTGATATCATGTTACACCAAAAACCAACTGGCATAATTGGTGTGACCATTATGTAGACTCCACCCTCCCTTCCCTCCCCTCCCTTCTCTTCCCTTCCCTCCCCTCCCTTCTCTTCCCTTCCCTTCCCTTCCATCCCCTCCCTTCTCTTCCCTCCCTTCCCTTCCATCCCCTCCCCACTCCACATCTTTGGTGGAAAGTTCTGGACACAATCAAGATTAGTCTGGAAACTAGTTTTGCTCCTGATAAATTGACTGAGTATCGTATCTTCTCTGACCACAATTGATTCTCTCTGAACTTTGCACTTAGTCAATTTTGGTTTGAATCAGCTTTTACTTCGCGTTGCAGCGGAATTTTGAGTCATTGAGAATTAGAACCCTCTTGGAGCATGGGATCGATAACCAGCTTATGGTCGAAAAATGAGCCCACGCACATAAACCTTCTTGGGAGGATTTAAGAACGCTCTCGGAAAACGACGAAAATTTGTTTACGACTTGTAGTCAATGTCAACTAATTAATTTTTTCCCCTCATTGCAGTTCTGTATGTGGCCATTGGGTTTCTTTGTTTCTCTGTGCTGTTCCTATTTTTAGCGATTCTAATGATCTCTATCGTCGTCATCAGAATGCAGAAAATGAGAAAGTAAGTTTATTTTTGTGAGCTTGCGTAGCAAGCGGTAAAGTAGGAACTTTGAAGCGCTCAGTCACGAGAAGCCCTGGAAAAAAGTGTTATTTCTCTTTGTCGCAGCCTTTATTTTCATAGAGCGACAGTATCTGCCATTTTTCAAACCTGGAATTAATTAAAAAAAAAAAAAAGATCCTTGCCCACTTTGCTATACTAGAGGTAAGTGGTAATAGTTACAGATGCTGAACTTGTGATATTTCTCTCAGGGCACGTCAGAAGGAAGAGGATGAAGCAGGCGGAAGAATCAGTGAAACAATTATCGCAAACCCTAATGTTTTGCAACACCCTCCTGGGCGAAGCTCGATCGAACCAACAAAATGGGAACGTCACCCAAACGCAGGGAAGAACGGCGGCAAAAGGGTATCTAAGGGAAACACCCCTGTAGACTATCTGGAGTATATGGACTTGATAATTATGGACGCTGCGAATATGAACCTACCGCGTGCAAAGAGGATAGAAAGTGAGAACAGGGAGAAGACAGTTTGACTTTAAGATTGTGTGACAGGCTGCAATACTGCGGTGTTTTGAACGTCTAAGTCCCTCGCTGTATTTGAGTTGAGATTACAATTTGTAGATTTGGCTATAGAATATCAAATTAAAGAAACTGTGAAGAAATTTAATTTGCCGTTCTAAACACAATAAACCTCTTTTTCTTTTCCATTCATTTCTGTGTGGGTGATTCTTTTAATGCTCTGGAATTTGGGTCAGGGGGTCTGGGTTCAAAGCTTAGCCGTGTCATATGATTGAGTTCTTGGTAAAACAGACCATTCCCATAATGCCTCTAACCAATCAGGCCCGTTTGTTTGAGAGGTGGAAAACCCTATCCAATGAAAAAATCGCTATTCAGCGCTATCCACCAAGTAGAGAAATATCTAACGGATAGCGTAGTGCTCGTAAAATGCTGCAAAGTTGCTCACTGGACTGCTACGAAGATGCTAAAAATTGCCAAAATCCAAAAAGTTTCCAACTGAATTTCAAAAGCTGTCACCTAAATTTCTCTATATTTTCATGTAAACGTTAATTAAAAGCTTTATCTTCGTTCTTCACAATAAACGATAGCATTGGTTAAAAAAAAAAAACAGCTGGAAACTTGGCTTCAAGATTTGCTCGCAAATATGGGCGAAATTTGAAAAAAACGTGGTTAATTTCACGTCTTGCCGAAGAATGAGGGAACTTGAACGAATCTAGCTCTAATCTCTCTGATTGATTTCAGAGTCTAAAACCACATGTTTCTTGAAGTTTTCTATGAAATCGTTGACTTTTTCGTGCTTTATTGAAAATTTCTTGGAAAGACAAAAACTCCTCAAAGTTGCTGGAACTTCAAAAAGTTGTTCCAAACGCCAAAAGTTACTCAAAAGTTGCGTAGCACAATCGGGACAGGCCTAACGGTGGCCGATTTATATTAAAAGAACAAATTATCAAGTATTATGGTAGGGTTTTAAATTGTATTTAAAGACATTTGATACCAAAACATAAAAATGCAACTGAAATCTAACGTGTTTTGGTTGGTGGCTTTCGGGCTCAGTGGAGCTGATACCCCTTCTTACCCCGCCCGGGGGCGGGGTGGGGAAAGGGGACAAGAAGCATTGTTACTCCAAAGTTAAAATAGCATGAAGCTAAAGGTAATATTGCCACTCACCTTTCCCTCTGCTCCCTTCCTCTCCATACAAAATGCGTGTTCGCGTTAAGGTAAAACTAAGGCGGTGAGGTATATACGGTATCTGGCATCATTTTCTTATCGAGAAATTTGCCTTCGCGCAATATGCATTTGCCTTTGCGCATATTCATAACAAGGTGCTCCATTTTATCAGACGGAATCTTTCTCATACGGGATACACATCCACTCTTTTAATCTAAAAAGTCTAAAAATCATCTTCTCCCTCTCTAATGATTACATACGACCTGACCGAGCCAGAGCGAACCCCTTATTCCTGGGTACAAGTATTATTTTCCTTCGTTGTCAAGGTGATTAAGATTTGCTCTTGCTCGCCGCCATTTTTGAAGTACTTTTAAAAAGGTTATCGTTGCAACTCTTTCGCATTTACCCTCCATGACCTCTTTAGTTTCATGAAAACAGAAAGATGCCTGAAGACCTGTCCAATTCCTATAATATACGACCTAATTTCAAGCACAAGTAAGAAATTTCAGCCTTCATTTAGACTTTATTCCGAGCGATTTGACTAAAATTTATATTCTCTTCGTATATGTATATATTTAAATTGGTGTCTCTTCGTTTTGGCCTGAAATTTCTTTGTTTTATGCTGTGATCAGGTTCCGTCCTGCTTCTGTAAAAGCAATCATTCATGATGTTTTGAATGAGGAACTTTCGGGCAAAAAATACAGCTCAGAAGAGGCGACTGCATGGTGTAAACACATCTCTGAGACAGTGAAAGAAAAACTGAAAGGTAAGTTTTGGAGTTTAGAAAATCTGCTCTTTCTATAATTCATGAATGAGCAATAGATCTTCACGATTTGAAACCCGAATCTATCATTGACAGCAACTTTATTTTCTATAATGCATGAAAATACAATAAAGTGCATCTGACATAATTACAACACTGTTTAACAGCTGTTTTTTGTGCCTGTTCTCCAAGCTGCGACTACTCTGATTTCCAGGGCAAATAGAAATATGTTTCAGCAACTTTTTTTCATTTATTTACAATAATGACATTGTTTACAGTACACCATTACTTACAATACTAGCATTTGTGACAATATGAACATAATTTAGTAACAAATTACTAACAGAAGTGACAGTAGAGACATCACTTTCAACGCAAAATTTACAGTTCTAACATTTTTACTGGCACTACCAACAATGCTTTGCCTCTTACGAAGGTAATGGTAAAACTAACTATACTAACATCAAACAGTATAAGTACATTAAAATATGTTACAGTAGCCTGCAAATAAGCAATTATTTGATAAGGTTGAGCATGATAAATTAGATACTAGGTTTGATAATTCATAATATCATGCAAAAACTGAATTCAATAGTTGTTTTATAACAATTTTTTTTAAAAGCACCTGGCCATTTTGAGTTTCTCTCTCTGAGTGTGCAAAAGTTGAAGAATACTTCACAGACAATGGACTGGGAAACTAGGCAGACTTTGAACTTGACATGATAAATGCAATATGCCTTGAAGATAACACATTTATCATGTGAACTTCACACTTTGTATTGTATATTGATTTAATGCTCTTGACCAATAAGATTTTGTAACATTCTTATCAGTTTATTGTTTTTGTGAAGTTGAAGTGAAATAAATGTTTACATTAGAGATATTGCAGTATGTATTTGGTTGAAAATTGTCCTTTTCAAATGTTTTTTTGTTTTAAATTTTGTTTTCTCTGGGGTCTAAAATTTTATTACTACTATGGACCATATGACAATTTTAGATTGCCACATGGTGACTTTAAAACAACTTTAGCTGGGAGCTCTATGCATCAATTGCAAAAACGCTGTGTTCTCCCTTATTTTAAGCACAACATTTAAAAAAAATTCAACTGGTGGAGTAATCCCTTTACCAATTCAATTTTCAAGATTTCCAAGCAATTTTAGGTGATTACAATCAGCAGTAAATTTTACTGGTTAACGCTTGAAAAGGAGAACACTGAGAACTTTTACATCTAAGAAAGGTTTAAAATAAACAATGAGACCTTTCAGCTTTATAGGTCAGGCTCTGGTTGTTTCGAAGAGTGTATAACACCATCCACTGGATAAATCTCTATCTGTTGGATAGCACAACGTGTTTTGTTAACACTCATCTGCTGGGTAGTGATTTATCCTGTGGATAGCATTATCTGCCTTGTGAACAATTGGGCCCAGATGTACTTGATCACCACCATTTGTTTTACACAGTGGATAATGGGAACCATCCAAGGTTTTCTGAAAAAAATTGATTAGCATTGATTTGCCATAAATAATTAGAAATAAAAGCAGATCACTGATTATATCTTAGTTTGAACATTTTTCGTGAAGTTGTAGGGTCTTATCCTTCATGGATCATGCTTTTTAGGTGTGTCTTTTTAATGTCTTTGCAATTGAATGTATGCAAAACTGTAAAAACTAGAGGATAACCTTTAATTTATTACATCTTGTACTTTAATTTTATGGCCAACTTTCAAATTTCTTCATTTTCCATTTTTTTCTCTTCATTTTATTGCAGAACTGGATTTGGACAGATACAAATTTATTGTCCAAGTTGTCATTGGTGAACAAAGAGGAGAAGGAGTGAAGTAAGTCTTGAAAAAAATTTTATTTTTGTTTGCAGTTTTATGTAAATTATCCTGTTAGATGCTAATTTGTAATTCAGTGAGAAACATGTTGGATAATGAGTTCTTTTGGACAAACTTCATATTTATCCTTACAACCTATCATATATTTTCACTTGTGTATAATTGGTCTAAATTTTATCATGTGACTAAATATTAGCCCTAGCTAATACTGGGGTAATTATCAACAATTATAATCCATGAAAATATTGTCATGTACCTGCTAAAGCTGGTGGATATCCTGTGATGTTCCCCAATTTTCAAACCTGATGTCCAATATCATGACAAAAGTTTTTGTTTAAAATTTACCTCAAGATGAAAGAGCATTTTCCTGCTGCTGCAGGAGAAGGGGTATATTTTGTTTGTTCTGTAAGTGGTATCAAAGAACACTGGAAAGTGAACTTTCCATGCAGTAAATGCTAAGCTGTTTGTAAACATTTAAACTCAATAGCCTCCATCAAAACATGCTCTTATATTTGTCCTTGGACATTATCTGTTATTTGCTAGGAAATAGAGAATGCTTAATGCAATATTACATGATGTACTAAGCTTCAGGCTGCATCATCTGGCTTTGCAAGAAGCAGTAAAGCTGGCAATTAAGTTTGGAGACTCACAAGATATGTGTATATCGAGGCCTAATACTTAATAGACATTTGAAGAGAAAAGAAATAGGTTTTTTTTAATTACAAGAGAATGAAAGAGCATTGATTTCAACTTAGAACCATTAATTCTACAACTTTATGTAATAAAACCATTGCAGCTTGTTAATTGATTGCCAAGAAGATATTGTCAAATTGGCAACTTTTGCTGCAGTTTTAGCTATTGAAATGATTTTGAAATTAACCCTTTAACTCCCAAGATCTGGTTGTTAATTCTTCCTTCTACATGTAATTGCCACACATTTCCTTATAAATCAGTCACAAGAATTTGGTGTTAGATCAAGATAGCAACTTCTACTTGATAAGTCTGAGTATTCTCATCACATTTTTGTGGGATGATGTATGAATATTGTTGGGATAAACTATGTGTTAATCACTTTGGGAGTCAAAGGGTCAACCAAGTGCTGGCAACTTGAAGTGCTGTACTTGTACTCTGATCAAAATCTGAAATAGACCACAAATCTTGTTCAGTCTATACTGTTAGCTGTCTGCATTGCATATGTTGGTTACTTTCAAAATAATTTGTTTTAGCTGTTAGCTAGGGTTTGGAATCAATTCAAGTTATAATTTTCTGAGCTTGTCAGACAAAACATTCTGGGACATTAACAACATCAGAGTCAGCATTGAACACACAAAGTGAAATGTGACAATGCAAACCATTTGCTATTATAAAAATAGTTAAATGACAGCTATTATGATCTTTCTTGTATTATTAAAACTGGATCATTGGATTATGCAATTCAAGGGTTTTCATTGGCTCAGCCATCATGGGTTATGAGCCACTGTACCATACTTTACAAATATGGTCAGTTTATACAGTACTTACAAAATAAAGTTGGAAAGATTTATCCACATTTTGGGGTGTTTTAAATTAAAAATTATTGCAATCATGCTTGTTGGATATGTGTTGATCAAAGCAGGAACTAGTTGGTTATCTATCATCTCACATCCAACATACGCCCATGGAACAATTGTTTAATAGCATGTGTGAAAATTAAATCTTCAGGGTAGCATGTAGATGCTTGTGGGACTCAGATACAGACAATTACGCACAAGATATTTTCATGAATGTGAGTACATTATTAGAATTGAGATGAAAGAAGTGGGAAAGACTGTCACGAGATAAATGTACTTTTGGGTTGGTAGTAAATTATCTGAATTAGTCCCCTTTGAACAAAAATAACTTTAAGTTTGGATCATGTGTTAGTTAAATTCATATTAGTGAGCTGGGGAGCTAAGAATTACGGCTGAATTTAACAGCTAGCACAAAGATGGTCCTCATTTCATAATCTTAGTCTTGCTAAAAGCAGTCACATAACTTGGTTAAGTGTGAACAGTAATCAGTGATGAGGGGTTGAAAGTATTTAATGGAGACAGACAGAGGAGACAATTGCTCAATCTTTCACCTGCCATACTTTGCTTCTGCCCAGATGGTAACTATTAAAAGACATTTATTTTTGCATCTTTGTTCATTGTGTTCTAACCAGCCAGAGTTTGGCAGATGATCACTCCTTTCATAGCTTTTAATTTACCATCACTTCTTCCTCACTCCTTCCCAGTTGGTCAGACCTTATAGGAATCACAGGAGACTGAGTGAGAGTAACATTCTTAACAAGTAGTGGGCAGACCAGTTTATTATTTAGAGACTGCAGCTAGTGATGTAAACTTTGTGACACTCGTCTCCCTTTGGGAGTTTTGGTAAAAAAAATGATTTCTTTAAGGGCTGGTGTCAATCCCTGACTCCCTAGGGGAGTTTTCCTTTGTTTGTTGTTCTTGTTTGGCGTCACCAAGTGCAAAAGTGACAGTTTGTCAAGAATGTTTCATTTCTTCTTTTTTATTTATGTTGTTCGGTTATTTTGAGGAGGAACAAACAGTTTAAAAGCCTCCCTTGGCTAGCTGGGAGTGGAGTCAGCATTTTTTGTTGTAAAAAGTTTGTCAATTGAGCCTTTGAGTTGTGGCTTGGAAGTTTGCTTCAGGCAGAATGAAGAATTAAGATAGATGAACCATACTGACAAACTTGGTATATCTAAGTACTTTTCCATGGAATACCGTATGGTTTTTTTTTTTTTGGACCTTTGCTGGCTACGTGTATTGTGAAAGACCAGAGCCAACGTTATCTTGGTTTGTCTGGCAATTCAGCATGAAACTTCCACAAGGGAAAAAATAAAGGGGATATGGCGAAAAGCAAATTAAAAGCAGATGAGAAGAACCTCACTCTAACTTAAACAAAATACACATACGTAACACTCATTTATCAATGCTTTATCGCTCTAAGGCCCTTGAGCATGTGCACGATTGAGAAATCCTGACGTGTTTGTTGTTTTTGCATTGCACATCAAGAAATTACATTCCCTTAAATTCTTGTGAATTCAACGATACAGCTTTGAGAAAATTTTGTAGGAAGTACAGTTTTTCAGTAAAAGTAAGATAGAAATTTTTATGACATAAAAGAAAGTGTTTAGAGCTCATTGTGCACGGTTAAGGAAGGTAAATGTGCAGCGAACAAAACTTGCCAACTTTGTATGTGACAAAAGTCAGATATGTGAGAATTCAAATTTGTATTCCAATTACTTACAAACGTTTGTCTGGGATGGGTGATAGTTCAAGTTGTGAGTCAGTGGAGAAGTAAACATTTCAGGCTAGCCTCCATTTGTTGAATTCTTGGAACTTTGAGAAGTTTTGCACAACATTATGAATCTTATGAATTACCAAGTTCTGAGTAACTCGCTTTGGGTCCAAAAGTACATCCTGCCGGACAACAGCAAAGGTTAGCATTAATCCTTGTCATCCATGGAGAGGTCGCAATGCAGCAGGATTTGTCCGTCTGCTATTTGAGTCAGTTATATGTGTGTGTATTTCTCTGAGCTTAGTTTTGGCCGGGTCTTTTCCACACTGGTTGCAAAACTACCCATTAATCGATGCATTTGGGCCCAGCCTGAAAATTTACAGGTTACAATTGAACTGTCGATTTGTAAACGAATCTTTGGCGAGACAGTTTTTAAATTTGGACGATTTTATCAAACACTGGCGGTAATTAATGATAGAGTCACTTAAATCCTCGGGCGGTAGTCGTCAGATGTAGCTGAAAAGACATGCCTACAGTAGTTTTGAACTGTGGGGCGTAATAAATTGGAGCAAACACTGGCGAGACGTCTTCTTCTACCTTCTTATATAACAGACAACAGCAGATGCCTTTGTTTAATACTCCAATCTACAAAGCTCGTTTTATTGTTTGTTTGTTTTTTTTTTTGGCGTCTCAAGCCACGTTGTTCCTTGATGGTCTAATAAGTGTTGCGTCTCCTCTTTAATTCCTAGAACACGACTGCCCATTGCCTCCGCTTCTTTTTCTTTGCGTTCCTGTTGTGCATCCTTAGCAGCGCATCTGCTCTGGTCTTACCCTCTGCATCATGGGTCTTAGTTTCCATGCGATAGTTTTGTGTGCGACATCTCTTCTTTCCTGATTTAATTCAAACAATAGCTTTCCCACTGCCTTTTTTTTGTTTTCTCTTCTGATCTTGATCAGCTCAACATTTCACCTTCTTTTCACGTCTTCCTTGCTCGCTGTCAGCGTTGGCTTTTCAATCTTGTGGCTTTTTGCTAGACATTCATTGCAGGAGGTTTTCATTTTTGTGCATCCACGTAAGCCTGCGCAAACTCCTGGACTGTTAGAGCACTAGGGTAGCTAATGATGGAACAGTAGAAAAAAGTTAATCAAAAATGTGTTGTTTACATTGTCTGCTAAGCTGAGATCTCCGCCAGTTTTCGTTAACTCATGGAATGCGTTTCCCGCGCGACCGTTGCTTGAAGCAAGACAGTGAAAGCAACAAAGACAGTTAGAATGAAATAATCAGCGTTACAACCAAAGGTCCACTGACCGCAGTACACCATAGTGTTACCTGTGTCTGTTTGTCAAAATGTTTTCCTCGACCCTTCAGTGTAAATGGAAAGAGACAATTTTTTGAGAAAATTCTAGACTAACAATGACCGAATAACTTAAATCTCTTAACAGTACTCCTTAAATTAAATTCATTGAAATTATGTTTTACATGACCCGCGATCGTAAACACACAAAATTTTGGAGCAAATTCTAAGGGGGCAAAGAATTGTATAACGCAAAATCCCCCAAATTTATTTCTTGAATGCTGAGTATGAAACCAGTTTACTAATATGTTTTGCTCGACCCACGCATACTGCTAAATTCGGACAATTTTAACAGACACTGGCGGTATTTAATGATAGAGTCACTTAAATCCTCGAGCGGTAGTCGTTAGATGTAGCTGAAAAGGCATACCTAAAGTAGTTTTGAACGGTGGGGCGTAATAAATTGGAGCAAACAAAGGCGGTAAATAATGATAGAGTCACTTAAACACTCGGGCGGTAGTCGTTAGATGTTGCTGAAAAGACATGCCCAAAGAAGTTATGAAATATGAGGCGTACTAAGTTATGTTCCAAGCTCTATATCTCACGCATGAATACAATACTGTCTTGTACAGTTGCGGGTTTTCCCTCATTTTCCTACTTTTATTTAGCTGTTTCTTATTTTTAGACCCCAAGTTTAAGCGTCTTCGGTGTCTCATGCCCTGGAGGTCTGGATACACTCAATGACAGTCTTGTATGTTACGTGTAAACAATTTTTTTTTCTTGTATTTTGAATCAGCCTTTCTATTATGAAATAGCTCAAACAATTTAAGCATGAAACGAAACTCATGGCCTAAATTTGACTTTTACCTCGACTTCAATTACGGCATTGTTCTAAGACTGCTTGGAAAATTAACAGACATTTGGATCTGAGACAGAATTGAATTTTCAAGGAGAGGGATATATGTAGTCATTTATTATCTCGTGTAGATAAGTTTCGAGAAACAGTCTGAGGAGTACTGCAAGATGAAGGTTTAAAGAAAAACCGTCTTTGCGTGCATGATAAAATGTTCGTGCCGAGTAATGTTATTATTCTTAATAAAGAAAAAAGGATTTGGTAGGAAAGCATTTGAAGCCACATATCGCTGGCTGCCAACTAATTTGAGGTTGTCTGCATTCTTTCAATTTTACACTCATTAAAAGCTGCTTAAGATGCTTAGGCTGTTTTTCAAGTCTAAACACTAACAGCGTGGATTAATAACTAGCGGATTAAAGGCTTTGACATAAAGAAAAAACAGACATACATCCGCTCTCCATTTTCCCAGAATTTATGGTCCCATGCATGAGCTGAGTAAATAGCGATAGCTGCGCATAGTGGAACCGCAGAGGAGCTTTAGAAAAATCCCTTCACGATCAGATAGGCATGATTAGAAGTGACGGATAGATGATCTGGTGTATGGTAATCAAACCTAATTTATCATCGTGGGCTTAACTTTTCGGAAGTTGTTCAGCGTCACGAATGATATAGTCTGTATCATTAGGTGTACAAGCGGATTTTCATGAAAAAAAAAAGTGATATGGATCACCTCAGGGTGAAACATATCTTGCCTTTGAACGCCCTGGAGTGATTACGAAGCGTCTGCTGGTCGCGATCTGCACAAGCTTAATTTTACAGAATGTTGCTCGTCAAATATTCTCCGCATGCACTGTTCATTTTAAAAATACAATGTCAGAAGTGTCATTATTCATGTTGTACGTGATAACGTTTTTCTTCGAAACAGCAGGGTAGAGGATCATTTCTGTTTAAAATCGAAAAGAAAGCATCCGGTTTGTTCGTTTGATTACAATGTTGATTTGAGTAGGTCCTTGCTGGTAACCCATTTCTAACCTCCTCCTCCTCCTCTTGCTTTGACAGCACACTGCTGTATTGCAAAAGCGTAACTACAAACCTTTTTATATCTTTTCCTACACAGTGAACACCAATAGTTTGCTACTCACCTACTTTTATTTCGCTTCTTGCATTTCCCTGCTTTCTCTTGTAAGGAGACACAGTCAATCGCAAGCTATTACGGGACTGCAGTCATTTAACATAACAGTTTTACTCCGTACCAATTTTCTCGCTGTTATTTTCATGGGCGTTCTGTTAATTAACCCAGTCTTTGTCAAGTTCTTCCTTTCAACAGATAATACATCGGTTGAGTTATTTTACTGCCCCGCGGAAAAGGTCTCACTCGTCGACAGACTTTGCTCTCTGCCCTAAACAGCTTCGCTGCGTTCTGCATAAATTACTGCCGAATCCGACCAAACCTATTTCGCATGCTTACATTTGATAACGTAAATTGACTGCGAGGCAGTTCTTTTTGGCTCCAAATTCATTTATTTGTACTGAATCAAGTGTCTAACCTTTAAAGTTTATTGACACACAATTTCTCCTGCACTGAAAAGCGGGTCAATCAACACATCCCCTTCTTACAGTCTCAATTTCCATCTAAAAACAATCCAAATCAGTGGAGAGAAAATATTCTTGGAACTTTTTGTTCCCAAAGCACGCATTTCCGGTGAAATTCAGAAGAGTTCTTCTTTTTTTGGCCGGGTCAATTTTCGATTTAAAAAATAGCGCCTGTGTGTTCGAAATTTCATAACTAACTTATCCTATTTCTACCTATTATTACCATGGCTGACATATCTGGGATATTTACGCCCTAAGCATAGCCGCATACGCATTGCTCTACAACTGGGGTATCTTTCTACCGTTTTTGATAGAGATTTTATAGTAAAATGACCTAACGGTAATTTTCAAGGAAGAGAGAACCTCCTTTTCCTCTCGGACGTGACCTGTTATTCAGTTCGCCAGGCGCACCTGTGCGAATAATTTGTTGACAGAACTCGAGGGCATAGTTTAATGGAAGCCAGGTTTGTTAGTTTAACTTTTGGCGAGTTTTTACTGCGAGAGAATAATGGAAAAATCGACCGAAGAGTGTAATATTATCTCGCAAAAAAGTACCTTGTGCACTGTGATTGAAATAGGGCCGTGCCCCCTTCCCAAACAAAGACAACATTTCTTAAAAACAACTTTACAAAGCAGAGGTTTAATTTGGACGCATGAGTGCGTCTTTTGCCTTTTTAGCAGGTGTTTGTCGACCCAGCTGGATTGTTCTAATTGTGTTGTAAAAATACGCTTTGTTTTCATTCTTATTTCCTGCCAAGCGGTTTAGACGGCGAGTTCTTTTGTGTTTTCGCAGAGCTGTGGTTTATTGCCTATTGGCGATCACAAATTTGGGATTTTACAGTGGGCTTTTACTGCCATTCGGCCCCCTTGTAGCGACCGTTAATTGGAGTGTTTGTCTGGGCGAAATTAACTTAGTTTCTATAGTAGACAGTTTCCTGTGGTGCTGCCTGCACGAAAACACTAAATATCGCGCAGTATTACAATTTTGTTTATCAGCCAAAATTGTTACGTGACAGTACATTTAATTGAGTAGTGAACACGTTTAGAGATGGATGTGGGAACGACGCCTAAAGATACAGTTCGAGATAGGCATCGACGGACAATAAAATCCTAATGTTCGTAGCCGCTAGGTAATTATTGAAATACTAACGCCTTGCATTGCCCCAAGTGACTTTTTCACTGATATGTCGCTTGACTTGAGATACCTCTTGCGTAACGAGCCTTTGTCCACGGTGTTGTTTCCCTTTTCCGTTCTTTTATTGGGCTCAGAAATTAATTGTACATCCATTCTTCTTTCCGCGTGATGTTTGAGAAATTCGTGTCGTTTTTCTCAAGCGGTCCTTGGAGATTGGTCAATCAACTGTCGGTGGGGAGGGTTTTGCGGTATTGCTGAGGAAGAAAGTGAATTTGCAAGTTTTCGAGACGGCTTAATCCTGTTACGGCTGGGCGATCAACAACTGCCCAGCCGGTCACTGTTATATAAACACTGCGCGCGTGAAACAATGCAAGCCAAACCAAGACAGGTGTGTTTGCTAATAAAACAGAATAAGATGAATGACGCAGCCTCTGTATCCAACATGTCTATTTTTCTCACGGGTTATTCCCACGACCTTACTTTAGGGTGGAATTTAATCATCCTCTGCGGTTGGGGGCGAGAAACCGTCCTTGCTCTCCATGTTCAGCTCGAGCAGTGTCGACGAGATTTTAGCCTATTAACTCTTCATGTGGGTGAAATAAAGAGATAAAAGAGGTTTGAGGTATAGGAGATAATTAGCCCCATTTGGCAAAATACTTCGGTATTCTTTGAGCGTCCCAATATATTCTCGACTTCTGACGTAAAAGGTAAACAGTGGGCTTGATGCACATCATGGTAAAATGCGCAGGGGCGCTTGGCACCAGAGCATATCCTTAAGAAATATCCGCGCATGGGGTTCGCCTTGCTGCGTGTTTTGTATAGGTTTAATTTGACGTTTTGTATATTGGACTCAGGACATCAAACGCAAACACGTGCGTTTTGCGAAGACGCTCCCGCCACGAGGCGAAGCGAGCGGTGTTTGCTTTGATTTGTGAGCGCGTTTTTCCTTGTGAACAGATTTGTGGATCACGTTTCCGTAATTGCGGTGGCTAGGCTGATGGTATAATCCGTTGATTACTTGTTTGCGGATTTTCAACCTTTTTCTGATGAAAAATCAACCCGTAGAAAAATTGCCTTTTCCAAATAATATTATACTTTTATTTTCGAGGTTGTTTTTGTCGCAGTTTGTTATTGTTAATCGATGGAAGTTTCCAAAAACTTCTTGTGAAACGGAACATTGAATAAGCGTACACCTGTTTTTGCATATGCTTGAAGTTCAAGATGACCAAGATACTCTGCTGCTCTCGATCGAAAGAAAAAATTATATGATTAGGAGAAACGTAATTCTTAACTCCATATTCAGTACAATTTGTTCAATCTGAGTCGCGTCGCTGTTTTCATTCCCCCGCTAAGAGCGAAATCGGTGAGTTTTTTCTTTCTCGTTTTATCTTGATTTCAGGCGGTATTCTTATCTCCACGATTACTTATGAGAACCTTGTTGCAACTAATCCTGAAATTAAGTTCATTGTGTTGTTAAACCGCGATAATTTTTTCCCTACTCTGTTATTAAGTATCATTGTGTTTCTTGCCCGAAGGCCAACAGCTGACAGCAACAATTAATTGAACTGTGTGTCTCAATTCTATTCGCATTTTAAGTTTGTTTCCGTACTCTGTTTTTTCCCCTACCCTGTTTTTTACCTACTCTAAGTCTTTCCCTTCTCTGTTATAAAGTATCATTGTGTTTCTTGCCCGAAGCCAACAGCTGACAGCAACAATTAATCCAACTGTATGTCTCAATTCTTTGCGCATTTGAAGTTTGTTTAGAGCTCTTTCTTTGTATTCAAGCACCCCCGCTGCTCTCTTCAGACAACTTTCTGCATTATTGAACACACCTCTGAATAGTTTGTTTTCCTGTTTGCGTTGCTTGGGAGCCGGTACAACTCGGAAATTAAACATCTCTCTCTTCAACTTTGAGTGCGATTGGAATATCGACTCGCTGATCAAAGGTTGAACTTTCTTCGGTCAATCAAATTATTTTTTGAATCCTATTTGAAGACCTCAGCTTATGTTGGTCCGTCGCAAATTGCTTAATCATTTCGCCGGTATGATCATTATCTTGAATTAACAGCCAAGGTAACATTTGACAAAAGAAAACGAACATTTGCAATTGCATATTGCCCAAAATCGCGACGTACAACCTTTTATAGATGCACACACCTTATGATAACCGGTTGATACTCGTACGTTATTGTTTATGGCTTAGGAAAGTTAGACCTTGCTTCCATCGTGAAAAAACAAGTCAAGGTATTTATTCATTTCCATTTGAAGAACGTTACACGTGAGTTTGAAGGGCAGGTTAACGTTTTGTTTACATCGTTATTTCTATGTGAAAGTATTTCACGAAAAATAGATCAGAAACAAAAGAAAAGAGGAGTGTTTTCCGGTACACTGCTGTGTGCGTCTCAAGAAGACCAAAAAAGGAATTGGTTGGAAGGTGCTTTTGCAAAGAGATTAAATAACAGGACATAAAAATTGGAAAAAATAGTGCATGTCATACTGCATTTGAACCTCGTTATCACTGAAAATACGTATCGCTGTTGTCTCACTACGGTGATTTTTATTTCATAAGAAAATCTCAAACATTGAAAATTTATCTATAAATTTCAGTCGATTTGTTGCGTTCATTCATTTTGGTCTACAAGCAATTCCTGAGAGACCACACCCTCTCCAAGAATGGTTACCAGAAATGGATAAAGCAATAGCTTTTATTCGAGGTCAGTTTCACAACGGTGATGCCATGGGGAGTATCTGCATTCTGTATTTCATACCGTTCTCAAGTAAAAAAAAAAAGCTTTATATCTTAAAGACCTGTTTTTTTTTTCTGAATTTGTATTGTTTAGGCGGGAAATCAATCTCGAAAGCGTGCTTACACGTGCCCGTGAGCACGTGTCTCGTGAAAATATGATGGTTTGTTTGTGAATCAAGGCCACTCGTTCCTTTATTGAGGCTGGCGCCATTTTTCCTACGCGATCTCTTCTGGTAGATAATGAGTTTTGGTTCACATTAACTAGACACAAGATCTCGTGGTTATTAGACATAACAAGTGTTGTTTTCCGTCTCGAAGTTGGCTCGGGGGCTCGTAGATGTCGAAATGTCAACCTGGGAATTATGTTTTTGTTACATGATATTGTCAGTGCTAGTACTATAATTTCAAATTTTAAGTAAAATACATTAGGAAGTTTTAGCATTATTGAAGTCAGGAAGAAGTAAAATTATCGGTTTTCTCCTGAAATGTTCAGCGTCAGACTAACTGTAGTTTCACCATGGGGAATCATTCCACGTATTGCACTCTTTTGTTCGTTCCGGAAAGGGCTTTAAAAATATAATCAACCTCGACCTGAACGATAGTGATACGTTTGCTGTACGCCTGCGGTGGTTTATTGAGCTGTATGAGGGCGCTGTTGGTGCGCTATCAGTCCTGGTGCAATTTTTTTTAGCGCTGTTAATCTTAGAAACACATAGCATGAGTAATATGATATCTCTTCCTGTTTTTATAGCAACTTATTTTTCGTCTTCAAAAGCAAAAAAATCCTCTTTTATATGGCAATCTACAAATTATACAAATTGAAAGAATGTTGCAAAGGAAGAAAAAAGATTAAACAGTTACTAAGTGCTGTATTCATTGAGTTTCAAAGACCACATGTTCCTTTACTCTGTTGTATGTAATTATGTGTTGCAAGAAAGAAATGGGCCAAGTACGCAGTGCCCTTACTATAGCGGAGAGTCCAGAAGTAGTATTCAACCCACACACGCCTATTATCGAAAACTGATCTGTGTTTGGGTACTAGGCCTTGACCTAGCGACCCGACATCATCTCGAGAAGCTACTCTCACATGATGTACGCCTTCCCTTGAGTAACTCGAGCTGCGTGGACGGTACGTGCAGTTTGCGTGGATGTCGTGCGTGTCACACGCCCTGGCTCACCTCATGATAATGCTCGTTCATCTTGCCGCAAATACATTCATTTGGCGGAGCGCGGTGAACGTGTAATTTAGTTATATTGTTTATAAAGGCTTGTACCGCCGTAGCCGAAGGCAAGGCAAGCCTGCTTAGGCCGATGTTGGTCTGTTTTACGAAAATACATCGGCCATGCAAGCTGAACTTTTAGTTATGCTCGTGATCTTTTCTTTTCCCTGTGGGCTCAAAAGGAAGACGTTGCATTTGGTGTCAGGCCTGTGCATTGCAGTTTCGTAACATCTCTCTCAAGTAAGGATTAGGGCGTGATCTATCTCCGTTGTTTTAGCGGTAGAGGAAATATCTGCCAGACGAGATTGCTCTCCGAAGCGACCCTTGAACTAAGTGCTTCGTTCGGCTTTGAATAATGAATTTTCTCTGAATAGGCATTTAGAAAGCCAAGCTTCCAGATCGTTCGTCAAGAGGTTGAGCCTAGGTTGGTACATCGGCTAATTGTTCTGTAGTGGTGCAGTTTATAGTAAAATATTTGAGTTGCGATTCAGCAAAGGTACAGCAACATTGTCGCAAGCCGCTTTCTTCAGGATCAAATTTAAAGTACTCAAGGCTGTGAACTCTGAGTTATAATACTTTGAGTCTAGTTGAGTGGTAATCTCGAAGTCATTATCGTAGCCTAGATTTCTACCATGGCTAAGAAGATAAGTTTATTCTATACAGTGCGCGCTCCTTTTGGCGCGCGCGGTCGTGCTTTTCGTAAAATTTCTCAGTGATATTCCTTTGAGGGACAAAATTGTATTATGCGGAAGCAGCCTAATTAAAAAGGCGGTGAAGTCTGCTGTCGGCGGGCCCTTGTCATACAAGAACCTCTCTTTGTATTCTTCAATTGTAATATATTTTATATTTTTGGATTGATGACGGTTCACAAGTGGGTACAAGTATACGTACCGCCTCAGACAGCTCGCCAAGCCCGTAAATTGATGGTTAGCAACGTGACGTCAGCATAGAACGTCAGCCCGTGCGTGCGAGTTTTTATCCAGTGTTCTGATTGGTTGCGGGAATGGCTAACTCTTTACCGAATTGGGCAACGTACATGAGAGTAAGCAACTTGTGGCAAAAGGCGGAGGCGCTTTTTGAGAATACAGCTTCAGATATGAACTAAAAAATACGATCGTTTTATTTGGTCTTCTACAGAAAGATGCTTTGCTTTTAAACAGAGCAGTTTGCTTCAAGTACATTACTTGTACGAAAAAATAAAAAGGAAGAAAAAGAACCAAGTCCTCTTGCGATTTGTTTTCTTCTGAATGATGCGTCTCATATTTCGTAATCACGCTCTTGTTTGCTTGTTTATGAGTTCCTCTTCGTGTCAGCGCTATTGTTCCTCATCAGGAACCCATTATTCTGGCAAAGTGCCACCACCTAGATTGACTTACAAGCAAAACAGAGCACCCTTAAGTTACAACCCAACCAACTATTGCTCAGAGGCGTTGTTAACCAAGCAGGTGGCTGTTAGTTAATGCGGTCATTTTCTAACTGAAACCCTCACTTTACTTGTTTTGTTCTCTCTTTTCATAGGATACGTTATTTTGCGTCGTGGCAGCCTACGGTGTCTTCTACTACTGAGCGCAGTTGGTGACCTGCCTTGCTCCTTGTGGATCTATTTAAACCTTATTTACACAAAAGCCTCACCATTGTAAATGTAAATGTTAATCTTGTGTACAAATGACATTTCATTCACCCTGTTGAGCGGTTTTCTTGTGTTGCCATAAATTAAACAGCGGGGTGATTTTAGTCATGAGACTAGTGACTGCTCATGTGTCAATTAATACTTTTGTAAAGGTTTTTTTTTTTTTTTTTTGTCTTTTTGGTCCTACTGTGAGTGAACACGTTGTATACCAGTCACACCTCTTCCGCAAACTTTTCTCCCACATTCGAAGTAAATCATAAATGTTTTCAATTCTTCGCGAATAGCTGAAATTTGTCTTAAAAATTTGTAGAATATCACGCTATAATTGTTATTTATAGCACGATTTTCGTAAAATTTAATAAAGTTGTCATCTTTTAAGCGCCGCATATTTCCCATAGGTTTACTTTAATCGTGTTTTCTTATCATATCTTTTACTGAGTCAAGTGTTCAGTAATCTTTATCATCAAGTTATTCCTTGGCTTTTTATCCGGTTGAATCCTATTTGACGAATTTTCCTTCCTCCATTCAGTGCTAATTATCGTAGATAGGAAGTAAGTAAGCTTGCACGTATTTTTGCGCGGTTTTGTACTCAAGATTAGGGAAAGAGGATGATTGTTGCGGTTCAGAGATTCAATTGATGAAAAACTCAACAAGTCGTCGTGGTTGTCTGGTTGAAAGGAAAGGAAATTAATAGTATAGTGCCAAGAAATGAATCCAGCTTTGAATGAAACTATTACCTCTATAAATAGATGTCAAAGTCGGGTGTTCAGGCGTAGAAATAGTACGTGCCTGGGTACCCGGGGTACCGCACTTTCTCAGGTGAAAAATACCGACCTGAAAAGCGTATAGAAGTCTATTGTAGATCTTGTTTTCAAGTTACCATTCCTCCATGGTGTGTTGGGCGTGTGCCGGAAAGCTAGAAGGAATCGCGCGCAAAACAATCGTCATTACCTTTTTGGCTGCCCGAAATTTTGGAACGGAGATCTTGCGTGGTGTGCTTCCTTTCGGCGTTGTTAGAAATAACGATTCCTAGACGTCTACAAAGGGATTAGCAGTTCGCATATAATAACCAGGATTCATAACGTCGTTAACGATACATAAATGGTGTGTTGAGATCACGAAAGAAGTAGTTTGATTTCACAATTTATCTCAACCTTTTCATAGCTAGGTGCGGAACCGATGATGGAAACGAAAAAGCGATCGAATTTTCACTTGTATCCTGTATTATTTTTTTGCCTGCTTCAAAATAGCTTTATTTCGATCTGTCCTGTTCAGGGGGGCATGAAAACATGCTTATTCCGTTAAACCTGTTATCGCCCGATGCATAGCATGACCAGGCCTATGAGCTGCTTCTGAGCGTCTGTCGTGCCCGCTTGTTTTAGCTGAGAATTAACAATGTCTCACAGGTTATGGTAAGAGGAGGTCTTTGACGACAACAATCAACTTTTGAGCTAAATCAAGGACAGTTCCACCAAGAACTTGTGGATTAATCTGTTTGATATCGATGCCAAAATAAACAGCGCTGTGTTCGTTTGCAGAAAGTTTTTATTTGCTTGTGTTTCACAAACAGACCCCGTGAATTATAGAGATGTGATTACTGCGATAAAAAGGAATCTTTTGTGTACGGATTTGTGTCAAGATTCTTGACTTTTCATTTACCAGTTCGTTTGTCTTCAACTTCAAGTATTTCCGAACTTTGGAGTTTGATTGTTGTGAATTGTCGAGTTGTTTTCCCGAATTTAGCCACATGGATTATGATAGTGTCTTTGTAAGCGTCTCTGTTCTGTCACAAGGTTCCTGTAAATTTTCATCTGTTATTGTTTTTACGAATAAAGATTAGATTAAGATTACTCAAGGCATAAACTTGGAATCTATCCTTTTCCCTTCAGTGATGATGCTTGCCATCATTCAGAACCGGTGTATTAGTTGCCTGTCGGAACTCAATACAATAAGGTCGATCTATTTCCTTTCACGACAGAGTACACAAGTTCAACATTTCGTGCGCGCGCGCGTGCTGGACAACTTTGCAAAGTGGAGTTGGTTTTCTCTGACTGTGATTGATGAGAGCCGTTCAAAATTCCTCAACGCGTGCCTCTATGGACTTCCGCCCTTGTGGCACAGATCGGAAGTAAGTTTGCCCGTGGGAGGATCATCACATTTCTCGAGCTTTTCCAGTCACGGCTCGAGTGAAACTGCTTTTGCCTGCACAACTCTCGAGGAATTTGCTCAACAAATATTGGGCAACACACGCAAATCGACAAGATCACAAAGATGTTTTGTCATTTCCTCTAAAACACTTGATTAACAATTTCCTGTTTATCTCGTGTTGTTTTGGCTGTTTACATTTCGTTCGATCGTGTGAAACAAGCTTAAAGTGAGTAAGCGAGAGGGAGTTTACAACAGATTTCACTATCGCTTCGTAGATCAATCGGCAACGCCCTCAAATGTTTGTCAATAAGGTTGCACCCCCATATAATATGACTTCACCGCTTTACGATGCAATGGTCGACAAGACACAGAGATGTCACGCCATTTCTTAATAGCTTAAGTTAATAAATTCCATGTGCTTTTCTGGCACCCATCCAATTGTTTGGCCTCCTTGGGTCAAGGCTATGACAATTTCGCTTACAAATGATTGAGTTCAAAGATATTCACACCGCGAGCGGATGTGCTAAACTGGTAGAGGGTTTCACGCTCAGGTCCCGCAATCGTTTAAAATCTCATGCATTGCTTCAGTTTCCTCTGCAAAATCACTCAGCTCTGCGACCCGTCAGCAGCGATGAATTTGAATGACAATTGATCAATTAAATAAACCGTTTTAAGTGTTTTCTATCGCCATAGAACCAACAATGCTATTGGCCCACAAGTGTGAAATGAATCAGGCCTATTGTTTTCCACCAATCACCGGTTATTTATATGAGATTGTTATCCACCCAGTGCGTGGTGTGATTGGTGGAGGGCGCCTATGTTTTGGCAGTGAGTTGTTTTCATCGGATACACACGTGGACGTTGTTCCGCGAATACTGACGTACGCTTGGCTATTGTTATCAACAGAATTTTGGCGCGAGCTGAGGGTACGCAAACTTGACTGGTACCAGGACTAGTTGTAAGTCACACGACAGAGCGAAGAGGAAGTGTGTGATTCGCTTTCGCGATCGCCGAGTTTTCTTTTTCCGGTGGAGTTGTTATTCGTATGGAAGACTGTAGCTTCGGCAGGGATGTTTTAAAGTGGAAAAGTGCTCAAGCGCCATTCACACGTGGTTTGATCTCCATTTGGAAGTATGGAGTGTCCGAAGGAAGAGACGATAGTCAAGCACACCTTGGGTTCGTCGCGGAGAAATTGTACTTGCAAGAGTTTCGGCTTAAGCATGTCGAATCTTCTATGCCTATCATTTTTGCTTAATATTGTTTTCGTTGTACTATTCGTGGTTGTATTTATACAACTACAGACCTTACAAACGCGTTTAGAGAAAATTGAATCGTCTGTGGTCGAACAACCAACAAAATTTGCCCCTCTACGAGGCAATTTGAGTCAATCGGCGCTTCCTGCCGAACCAACGAATGTTACATCTCCCCCGACTCTTCTGAAGGTACGTGCCATTTGTTTGTGCCAACTGATCGTAATATCTCGGGAGAATTGAAAGCAAATGAACACTAAACGTATTCCGACGTAAAAGACGTCGGCTTTGCGTTCCAACACTGGTGTGCGATTTCACCTCTTCACTTCATTTTCCATGTTTGATGTGTAATCCGAGAGATGCTTATTTGAAGAATAATTTTTTTTCGCGTTCTAAACAGAGCATGCCGTCAATCCACATTTCGCGGAGGAGTACTTCGCACACAGATCCAACGAGGCCAGCATTTACCGAAGCAAGGAAAAAGAATTGCAAAGTGAACAAATGTACTCGTGAGTACTTAAAGAAAATGGCCAAACGCGAAGTGCATCAATTTTTCGGCACCGAAACTCGGGCAAGAACGACATTTTGTACTGCGTGTAAACTGCCACAAGGTAAGTTTATGTAAGTTTTGTTCTTCATTAATCTTGTGATGGGCACAGATTGTGAGTGGTTAAAATATGTAATACGTGCTTGAGAGAGCTCCGTTTTCCACCATTTCGAACGCGTATTTTATCAGTAAATATGTTGTCGAATGATGTGATTGACCGTGAATCAAAATGCTGCCAAATGGTTAAGCTTTTCATTCATTCCTTCAGCATACATCGGAAAAGGAATGTCTAGGTTCGACAGGGCTATTTTAGTCTCCGCTATGTTCGAAAGTGAAATCATAAGGTTATCGAATGAACTTTGGAAGTAATATTTCTGTAATTTTGTCTGTCGTTGTTTGAAGCTAGAATTCCGCGCTGTGAAGCCGAGGAATTGGTTTCAGTTTGTACAATATTGTTACGCATAGAGTGATTTAATTCACGTAGCGCCTTCCCTTATTTACTTGTCGAACTTACTGAAGTAGAACCCAATGTCACTGAATTGCATATTGATCTCAGCATCGGGAGTATAATTTGTGAATATTGATCGTTAAAACTTCTTCAGCATTTTTATAAAGATCTTCTTTCTCATCCGCTGGTTTGCGAATGGTACTGCGTGTGTAAAAGCGAATACCAATTACCCTTCGTCACACGTGAAACGTTCGTTGACCACAGAGGATTAATCTATGCACATAGCTATGATAACCACAATAATTTTACCTTTCTTCTGCTGAAAAGTTAATTTTGTCACGCGTAACCAGATATCGAATTTTTGAAGTGGCTGGGAGCTAACTCTGAGGAAAACTTGAACCGTTTCCAAAAACACGGAAATTTTTCGTAATCAGTGGCCATCATTGCCTTTAAATAGAGTTTTACCGCTTCCTTTTTCAAACTCCGCAGTCATAGGAAACCAATTCAACTGACAGTTATTGAAACTATAGGTATTGACAATTTCCTGCAAGGAACATTTCAGTATATTGTTCTATGATTGAGGTTAGGCAGTCGGAAAATGGATAAAATAGAAACTTCTGTTGTGAGTTGAGTTCTCTTTCCATAATGCGGTTTTGTTTTCCACTATACACCTTTACTCCTCCTTCTAGTCTGTTCTTTTGTACCTTTGCCAGTTCTCTCTACCAACAGGTGTTGCATTATTAACATACATTTTCAATAATTTTATTATCTCTTAAGTCGCTCTATTTAGATCCATTCGGAGATAATCAGGCTAATTGCTAACTGAAAAACAAAATGCTTGCATATGAATTGGGACAGTGTGTGATTGATGTTTAATGATGTCCACTAAAATTTTGTTAGCTTACTTGTTGTAAATTGTATGTCTAAGATATGTCTGCAATGTGAAATTTGCAAGATTCCTCTATAAATGAATTGTTTATATAGGTTACTAGTGAGCACCAGAATTTTTGAGTTTTGAATAAGTGAAGACTTTATGAGTGCATTATTAGGAGGTAGAAAAGATATTAATTACTCTAGAAATTTGCGTTTTCTAGGCCTTTTTATGGTTTTTTTTTTTGTAGACTTGATGTTGATTGTGAGATCTCTTATGTGTCTACTATCTAAAATGCCAGACAAAAATAGATTAAATTTAGCTCAGGATATCAGAAATGGTATTGAAAGTCGCCGGAGAGAATATTTGTTTTTAGCCTTGCTCTTCACTATGTTGTGAAGGAGAATTTTTAGTTGTTCCAGAAACCAGTATTGTAAAAATATTTTGTAACAAGATGTGTGATTTTGTCTCCTATTTGGATTGTTTCATTGGAAACCATTTTCACTGAGTGTTTGTTGAAATTAGCAAACAAACAGCTGTGATTTGTATAGTTTCTGTTATTGTTTGTCATCAACAGAACAAGGAAAGACTGAAACATAGGCTACTAATTTGGAACATTGGCAATTCCACATGTTCGCAGAGTGATGTAATTGTTTTGACAAATGAATTTGACACAATGAAAGTTAATTTACATACAAATTAACTGTTGCTCTGCCAACAACTTATTAGTTATACCAGTTGAGCAGGACTTAATTTGTTTCTTAAAAAAAGCTTGTGCAAGGCACTTCCTAGAAAGAAATTGACTCTGTGTGGTTTGATTTTGCCACTTTGCAAGAATTGTGATATCAATAAATTTCTCTGAAGAGAACTGTATAAATGTCTGAAATAGTGGTTTAATTCTCAAGGATGGGAAAACATGTTTTGTTTTCCGTGGGCTCATACAATTTACCATTTCACTTCTTTATGTTTTCTTTTGTTCATCATGTCTTGCTGGTAGTTGGAAAAGGAGGTTTGATAGGTGCAATGCATGAAATAAAGATTGAGAGAGATGATCAATTTCACTCTGAGTATGAGTAGTTTGCATTAAAGCTTAAAGTAGCAGTTTCTCAGTTGTTAAGTAAAGAATCTTGTCAATCTTTCCTATTGAAAACTTTAATTGTTCCAGGTCGTAAACTGCAGGTGATATTTTTTGCAACATTGGCTGTCTTGTATAACAATCCTGAAGTTGTTTAGTTGTATAGACTTAGTAAAGCAATCTTAGATGGACCAATGTTTTCAAAAGTAAAATTATTAAGTTCTTCAAAGAGGTGTGATGAGGTATTGTTAGCAAATGAGCAGTTTGAATATCCTGAGGGAAGCTGCCAACCATGTGGTCATGAAGCCAATTGTTTTGCTTTTCCAAGGGTAAAAGAAAGAACAATTGTTTACATTTGAAATTGCTTCCTTGGATCATTTGAAGAAGGAAAGCCTCTAAGATCACAAAGTCTTGTTTTGCAGCATCGTGAGAAAAATAAAAATGGACCTGGTGTTCTGTTTCCAGCCTTATCAGATTAGTAACCGCAATTAACCAAAGTTAATTTCCGACTCTCCCAGGCTACCTGGTTTGGTGGCTTAAAATTATTGCATAAATTATTTGCCAAAATTTTCTAAGCGGCTTGAAAATTACTCATGTAAATACAGTCATTGTTGAAAGATGGGAAATGCTGCAATTAGTACTGCAGATGAACTACTGTGGAAGACTTTTAGTAGGCCAGGCTAATGTTACTTGCCATTCTGTAGGTCAATTTGCATAAGGAAAACCTTTGTTTTAGTTGGGAAAACAGAAAGACAAAAGCGCTCGGAAACAAAAATTCTTAAGTTAATTGTTGTGCAAGGAGATGATTATCTGAGGGATTATTTAATTGTTACACTTTTTTTTTTTTTTCAAATTGAATTTTTTTTTCAGTGTCATTTTTGTGTTGCATGGATCAATTCGGACTTTGAATGTGCTGTGGGTCTTGTTATGCAGTCCCCTTTTTAAGCTTTTCATTTGTAATACCCACTTCACACCTCTGTAGTGCCATGACTTAACCCTTTAACTCCCAGATTGTAATTGTAATTCTCTTTACTGTCAACCATACAATTCTTATAATGTTAGTTCAGAGAATTTAGAGTTGGTCAACTTATTATCCCCAAATTGATATTTTTCTTTATTCTCATCACTTATCTGGTTGATGGTGTATTGATATTGTAAGGAGAAACTCTGTCTTGGTCACCCATTGGAGTTAAAGGGTTAAGAACCACAACCACACTGGAGAAGAAGTTTTAAATACAAGATTTTCATGTCAGAAGGAATCACCACTGGTTTAGAATTAGCCATGAAATTGCTCTCTATGCACTAACTGAAATCAGACCAGGCTTTGAGCCACAGATTTTTGACTGCAATTTTATTCTTCTATTTGAAGAATGTTAATCCCTCTTTCATTTTCTGAACACATTTTCTTTAAAAAAAAAAAAATGAGTTCCACTGGCTAGAGTCCAACTTCCGTCTTTTATTAATTGTCATACAGTAAACACAGTTGCCTGGCAATCACTTCTTTTTGTTCAACATTTCAATTTGATTGGATGCATGTGTGTCATCGATGTAGATGTAACATTGAGTGGGTGTCATTGACATCATGTCTCTAGGAAGCTTTTAGTGAAGTAGCTGCCGGCTATGATGAAGCAGAAGGATGTATTAATGATGTGTGTTTTCGAGGGATTGCTGCTAATATTTTCGTGTTTTATTTTTTGGTGCCAGTTGTCTTTACCATCTGGCATGTATCTCTGTGTATTGTATTGAGACTCTTATGTATTTTAAAGACAAACACCAGTTAATAATTTTTTTTATGTTCACACTGTTTGTCAACTTGAAAGTTTATTGATGTTGTCATACTTGTGGAGAGTTTATTAGGCAGGTGCTTCTGACTTGATTTAATTAGGTGTTTATGGCAACCTGCATGGTCTATTAGGTGTTTGTTTTGTAAGTTTTGTTGATTGATTGATAGAAATTTATTTCGATGTGACACTGATCAAATGTTAAATTTCTTTTGATGAATGAACAAATCATTCTTGCCATGATTTAAATATTTAACGGTCAACACACAGTTTGTAAAAGTTTTTAACTTTTGTAACCTATGGGCACACAACCCTCTGTAAGAGGAATTGTCCTGTCTTGGTGCCTGCTTCTTAAAGTGGCATCAATTTTTTAAGAAGCTATCTTGAAGCAGTACAAAAGTCTGTATTTTGTGTTCATATTGTGTTCCTAATGGTTGCCTGAAATGTTTAGGTGTTTAATCTGATGCTTATCACCCACAGGTCAAATATTTTGATTTAGCTCATTTGTTCTTCTGGAATGTTTTGTCTCCAGACTGACAAATGACTTGTAGGCATCACTAATGTATGAGCTGACTCAGGTTTGCTTGTTTTTCTAATGCATTCTTGTTTGGTGCTACTAAAACATGGTTTCAGGTCCTTTCTTCAGAACATGAGAGGTGCTTTTCAACCTTCGTTTGCAAGGTGATGAATGCATAGATATTGTTAAGTTAAAGAGTACCTGTTGATGGCAATTTGGATTTTGTGGCTAAGAGTTTTTGATAAATTTGATAAGGGACTTTATCTTCAAGGAATTTTGTGAATGAAAGATTTGTCTCACTTGTCTTTTCTATCTCATCTTAAATTTTTTTTTTCATTTTGCATTAAACAGTTTTGTTTTTGTTTTGGTTTACTTTGTTTTTTTTGCGCACAGAACCAGTGCAAGGCTTAATTTAAACCATTTTGTGCTTTTCTTAGAGTTTTACAGACAATGTCTCTTGTTCTTTGTGGACCTCTCCTATTTTTTCATGTTTGTGTTGTTTCCATTCTCATGCATCATGTTACCAGTATCAGGTCTCACTGGGCTGTAATACAGCTCTAATCAGTTCTATAAACAAAAAAAATCAGTTTAGCAACCTAAGCTCACTGTATTGAAAACAAAAGGCCATAAAGAATGTTGGTGAAATTGAAGCAGGCAAACTTACACCACTGTAATCAATACTGGGTAATGAATATCTCCATAGCTGTGTAGTATGAGAAATATTGAAGGAGGCTAACATTTATAGCTGCCACAATTCTCTTAGCATGGGAATGAAGTTATAGGAAAAATGACAAATTTGTGATGAGTTGGGGAATATCTAAAAATTTAGAAGAATCACTAATTTGGCTTCCTTGGTTGGATGAAAGCCAGAGTAACCTTCTCTAATCTAAATTCTATTTTTAAATTGAGAATGTCTGTTTGTGATAAGTTACCTTTGATCAAAGACCTTAAGAACACAATAGAATATAAGTCCTTTTTTTGAAAGAAAATTTGTTTACCATAACATGCACATAATTCAATACAATTCATTCAAGTTTGGTCATTTGTTCAATTTAATTTTGTTGTCTTTGTTTTTGTACAATATTGATTGCTTCGTGAATCTGGGATTGATTAGCACAGCTTAATTTAATTTTTTTGTTAGTCAACACACACATGCCCAGGAGCTAGCAATGACATAGATGATAAGTCTTGACGAAATCTGTTTTCGTGTTGAAATGTTCTCTAAATTAGTGTCTCATTCAGTGAGCTGTTAAAGACTTAGAATTTCATTACCTTTCCCACACAATGAGCAATTGTTTTCCAGTAAGTGGTTGCGATTGAGTTTCATTAATGACTTTCATTTTTTAATTAGCCTTAAAAACAGCACGGTGTCTTGAATATAATGTATTGAATTGTACATGATGTTTTTCAAATTGGTGAGAAGATAACAATAGTGTTGCTGTCAATAAGGGTAGAATGTAATTGTGGTGAAGGGAAATTTACTCAAGAATTTCTACGTCATTCTCTGGAATCATGCAGTTAGCAGCTAACTCAAATGTTATTATGGTAGTTAAGTTTCTCAATCATCTTCGCACGACTAGCATTAATTTCAATAGCTAAAATGATTGCTACATGTATGTTATAAAATGATGACATCAAGTCTTCAGTCAGAAAGTGTGCGAAATTGTCAACAGCTTCTTTATCAACTCTGCATGCAATTGTCAGCTTTATCCCTCTCATTCATCGCAGTATTAAATTGTACAATGACGTCTTTCAACAATTTTTCCATTATTTTCTCAAGCCAAGCCATTAACATATAAGAGAAGCCAAGATTTATCTCAATGGGATTGATTTGGGTTGAGTTAATTTGTATTTGTTTAATTAACAGTCTGCAGTTGGATTAAAACTGTCTGCTGTAATCACCTCAAAATCTTCAGCTTATGAAGGATCTAGTCAGAGGGGTTAATGAATAAATCTTTGTTGTGGCGAGAACTGACAGAATTTTCAAAATAATTTTTCTGTTGATTATGCCACCCTGACAGTGTGTTAGTTGAGTTTTTGGGCAAGATGCATACAGGATTTAAATTTTTTGCTTTGTTTGTTTGTTTAAGTTTTCTTTCTTCTTGTGTCAGAAATGGGAATGATTACCTCAACTGATTATTTCTAATAGTCATTTTTTTGTGGGGCAGACTGTGCTTATTCTTTGGACCTAGCAGTTTACCATTTAATTATCGACTTAACATTTTTTTTTTGATAAAAGGAGCCAAAATTGAAATGGAGGAAGCTGAAAAAATTCGATTAGTAATTATTCAATGCTTTTGCCAATAAGATTTGAGTATCAATTCTCAGCCTCGTGTCAAACATTTCATTTAAACGAAAAATAATTTCCAAATTAATCTTTTTCTCCCTCCCATCACCTTATTACTTCTCTGTTATTCCAAATACAGAGATGTTTTTAAGGAAAACTCATTGATGGTCTCTCTTAGAATTAGAATATCAGTTTGACTCTAACTTACTTCTTGCACAACTTTTGAAGAGGCCATTTTATTGACGTATTGTAAACCACGCACTTGGGCCAAAATAGCTCTCAGTGTAGAAGTCAGGGAGGGTTTTGTAACATGAGTTGTCTAAGATCACATGCATTATTACTTTGCCTCGTTTGGTTGTAGGTTTTGATGTTACATAATATGCACAGCAGTAGGCTAATGTTTGTTTTAGGCTCAGTTACACAAGGCTTCCTAAGTAAAGGATACTAGTGGCTTTGGATGATGGATGAATGGGCAAAGATCAAGTTAAATGGATGTCTTTAGAATAACCCCTTTTTGCTTGCAACTTCATGCACCAGCCATAAACAGGCACTTGGTGAAGAAGTTTTTTTCCTGGTCAAATGCAGGTTGACTGACCTGCATTGTTGTATTCTGTTGAAAAGCCTCTTTGATCAGGAGGCTTTTAGGTTTCGTCTTTCTAGTAAGTAATTATGGCTTAGGAATCTTTGAATCTATTTGCTAGAAGTATTTTAGTGGCATTTTGAACTCTGTAGGAAAATATAATAACCTTTTTATGCGAACATTTGATGTCTAATGATTCTTGTGATGGAATCTGAACTCACAGGATCTGAGTCTAATTTGTCATTTTCCCATTTCTACAACACAAAATGAAAAAAAGAAAAGTATAATAAGGGCAAAGCTTGTCAATAATAATGAATTTTCTCAGCCTTTATGTCTTCTGTTTCATTCTTAAGTACATGGCATTGTATAGTCTTCTCTGTGTTCAGTGCTATTTTTTTTTATGGGTTTCTCAGAAAATGTTGAAAGTTTAAGTGGTTTTTCCAAGAAACTACTTGTTTTTAAAGTTCTGCAGATTCTTAGCAAAGCTGAGACTGAGAAAATTAAAAGCAAGATTTCAGAAGTGCTGTAGCTTTCCATCGACATTTTTCCAAAAATTGGTCAAACTTGGTCCATAAACTCTTGGCATATCAATGAGCATTTATGTTGGACATCAATTTTAACTGATGGCGCAGAAACTTGCAAATTAGAATTGGTAATTTACTGGTTAAGCAAAAAGTGAGCTTCATAAAGCAAAGAATCCATCAATGGAAAATAAAATTATTTTTATTTTAAAAGAAGGGTCATCTTCTTGAAGAAATCATTTTGATGTGCACAACCGATTTTTATCTCGTACTGAAGATTTGAGAACAGGCTCTGCATTGATGCAAGCACTTTTTTCCTATGAATGCAACACAATGAAAAGTGTAAAGGATTCTTTTCACCATGCTGAAAGTCCTTGTAAGAAAAATTTTATAAGTGTTGGTGTGGTTGATTGCAAGAGGTGGTATTAGTTGTGGTTCTTGGTCATGATGAATACATTTTTTTGTAGTGAGGTCTCATCAATGGTTTGTCTCATGTTGTACCCACTTGCAGTGTGGATCCTGTGTTGAGGTTGATTGGTTATGTGTTACCTTATCTGACAATGCACAATGGAACTGACTATATCATGAGACAAATAAAGTGCATGTAACTGTATTACTAAGCCTCTTTTTCCCAAGATCTGATTGTCAATGCTCCCCTCTGGCTGTCACAGGTTTCTTTGTAAATTAGTTATGAGAATTATGGTGGTAGATCAAGATGACAACTTTTACATAATAAGTTTGAGTATTCTCATTACCTGTTTGATGGATTAATAGAGTATTAATAGATTATTAATAGATTAATAGAGTATGGATATTGAGGGGAGAAGTTACATGTCAATCAATTTTGGGAGTCAAAGGATTAATGAGGCTGATGTATTTAGGACAAGTTTATAACTAAACCAATGGGATGTTGCAGGGGGGGGGGGGGCAATATCATTTGCCTTTGCTCAGTTTGTTTTCCTGCTTTATTTCCTCTATTTGCCTCCCTTCCAATCTTCCCCACTCCACCCATGTTTGGTTTAGTATTCATTCCATACACTGGTTTGTCAGTGTTTTGTGTACAGATACCTGGTGGTAAGCTGTGACTCAATTACCCTGTTGACCTCATTGTGTCTTAGAAAATTGTTGTCAGCCTCTCATGTTACTAAGGCACCTACCCTCCAATAAAGGTGACAATGTGAGTGATTTCTTCATTATGCCAGGTATGAGAGGCCCACCAGGAGAGCAGGGTCCCCAAGGGGATCCAGGACCTCCAGGACCAAAGGGTGCAGAGGGACCTCAGGGAGGCCATGGTGAGTGTCAGAGATTGTTGTGTTTTATCAGTATTGCATTTTATCATACATTAACACTACTGCTCATGTGCATTACAGCATTGCATGTGCAAGAAGGGCATGCAATTCCATTGCAATACATGTATGTAGGGTGTAGGGAGACAAAAAGAGTTTTTCAGACTCAAAAATGAACTTTATATTTTCAATTTTTGATAGTAAAGAACCAAATTTCAGGGCTTAGCATAAACACTCACATGAACCCTAATCACATGAATTTGTTCCTTTGAGGGTCAGCTCTGGAAACATCAGCATTTCAAACTTGTAAAGATTGACCGAGTACCTGCCATTAAACACTTGTTAAACAAGTCAAACATTTTTGTTCCCTTATTTTCAGGAATTCCAGGTGTCCCAGGCCTTGCAGGAGGTCCAGGTACAGAATAACACCAAATAATGTCAATTATTCATGTGATTATTGAGTTTTACACTCTCTGATTGGTCAGGAATTCTATTATGTCTTGTACTTGATACAAAATATCCATTGCTTTTTTTCTTTATCGGAAAACTCTTACATACATGGTTTTCAAATAGGTCCAGGAGAAAAATGATCACATAAAAATTATTTTAAAGTAGTTCAGGAAACAAAAGCAAGAGTGAAATTTGTTAGTGTAAAAGTAGTGCCTAGCCAGATTCATAATAGTACTCTCATATACAACTAAAATCTGGCATCTTTTAGGCCCCAAAGGTCAGAAAGGAGAACCAGGTCCAACAGGTGTTGGTGTTCCTGGGGATAAGGGAGACAAAGGAGACACAGGTACCTGAATATGGAATATGAAGAAAGAAATGTAGGAGCATTGTTCTATTAAACACAGTGGGTCTTGCATAGGAAGTTAAGGCTACCCTGTAAGGGTCCTAGGAAAACAGACTGAAGCTTTTAGACAAGTCATGCTCTTTTTCAGGGTTATCCTCTTTTGTCAGAAGAATTATCAGAGTACTGAACAAATATTCTGCCTAAATTTTTCAAGTTAGAGTCATTTTTCATTCCAGTTGGTCCCATATTCGGTGTTTTTGATGTGTTTTAGACCACACTATTAAGGATGACGCGTTTCAAGTGTCATGAAATCTGAGTCATGATGTCATGTGATGTTCTCTTGTCTACACTTCTAGTTTTACTCAGGGCTCTTCAGAAGCCTTGGTTTTAACCCGAAAGTAATATGACAAATGAGCTAATTTAGCACAGAAATTTTTTTTTCCTTAACATAGCCAACAGCGCACCTGTGCATACACAAAAGTTCTTTACTTAAGACACCATTTGAGACTTTCCATTGAGTCTCAAAAAGGTGGGAGAGAATGATGAATTGTTAGTTTTCTGGTCAGGCAAGTGCTTTATTGGTCTAGGTTATTCAATCTAAAAACTGCACGTCTCTGACAAGTGGAGAGGTGAATTCACCCCCCTTCCCCCTTACCCAAGGGTTAGCTCCACTTTTATTCTGAATCATTGTATGAGTTACTGTATCCTTAAATTGATACTGGTGATTCTTTGCGGCCATCTTGCCTCATTGTTACTGTGTTTTTTTTGTGTGCTTGTGTGTGTGTGTGTGTGCAGGAGACCAAGGGCCAGCAGGAAAAAGAGGGCCAACAGGTAAAAGGGGTGAACGTGGACCTCCAGGGGAGAAAGGGGACCCTGGTCCAAGGGGAGAAAAAGGCAGCACAGGCTCATTAGAGGTTGGTTAAGTACTTACTATCCTGGTATTAATTTGTCTATTGACACCTAAGAGCCCTTGTTTTTTCTACTATTGTAATTTCTGGTGGTTTTCCCACATGGCAGAGGTAACATGCACTGCTGATTTTTGCATTTAAGTAAAAAAGTCAGCATATTACCCTTTGTCAATGGATAAGCCACATATTCTGTTGTATATTCAGTAAGAGGTGGGTCAGCTGTTTGCTCAGCAATCTTGGATGAGTCTAACCAGACAGTAATTTTTTTTATTATGAGTAAATGGGAATTTACTGCCTACTTTTCTCCTTTGTCTTAAGGAGGGATACTCCCCAGAAGTAACTATGTTATTCACTTGGTGAAACCCTCTCTGTGGTGTCCATTATGGAGTAAGAAATATACAGAACTGGAGCTGCAATCTCTCTCATCATGCTTATAGCTAGCTTTGTGAGATTTTATTTAATGCTCAACTGAGTTGATGAGATAATTTCATTTCCACAATGGCACTCTATTACAACCCACTTACTTGCATCCAAGAATCTGTTTTAAAAACACCCCTTGAATTAATCATTAATTTTGAAGCCGTTTTAATCTGGCTTGTTACAATGTACATGTACTGTTGACTGAAAACTGATGTTTTTTGTCTACAGTCATCGCAGAGGCCATCAGCACACTTGACAGGCTACACAAGACACACCCAGAATTCTCCAAGAGCAGGTAAATAAACTTTTCCTGTATGTATATTTTTCACAACGGCTGGTTTTGACAAGCCAAGAAAATCCTAGACTATTAACATATTCACTTGATCCTGAACATCTCAGATGGATTTTCCCAACATTTCAGGAGATTGTAAGATGTCTATCTCCAGTTATGTTTATGACTCAGTGGCAGCTAAGCCATTACAAGATTGATAACTAACTAAAATTATAGCCAACATCCCTAATGGTAAAATTATGATTGTTCATATGTTCTGACTGTTAGCTAATCATCACACAAATCTGAAACATGTCTGGAAAAAATTATTTGTCCTGATTTTTTCTATAAGTCACAAACCATCTTAGGCAATTTTGGCATGTCTAGAATTTCCAGTTTTTCAAATGCTCACAAAGTTACGACAGTCAAGAAATTGAAATTTTATAATGTCCAGGATTTTCTTGACTCACAAGAATCTACCATAACCTTAATTGTAAAGATTGGTGTGCAATAGTTCATCACTCTACATATTTGAACAAACAATGCATTGAAACGGAAACTGGGCTAGAACTGGCAAAAATGTTATTAGTCTGATTTGTCCTAGTTAGGAGCTGTATTTTTACTGTGGAAGTGGAGCAGTGATTTGGCTTATGTCTGGAAATATATGAAACTTTAAGTGTTTTTCAATTTCCTTATTAAACTGGCTGAAGAAAAGATATACATGCAAATTGAAAACCCTTCCTGTCAAAATTTCCAGTCAACTATCTAGACTGCACATGGTTCAAAATGTGATTTGTTTTTGTACTAAGCTGCTGATGCACTTAGATACAATTCAAGCAGTCTTTTACCATCCATTAACAGTTTGGTGCAAGGGGGCCTTGCCAAAGTGTTTACACTTTGGTTTCTGTGCTCTCTTTTTAACAGGCTTCTTAACCGGGTGGAATCTTACACTGTGGCGAGGGGGGATGCGATATCGACATGGAGAACTCACTGTCCCGACATCAGGAGTGTATTTAATATATAGCCAGCTGTATTACACAATTCCTTCTAATAAGAGCGTGACTTATTATGTCTGTGTGAACAATATAAAAAAGGTTAAGGGTGTAAATTCTGGCAGTGGTGCTTTCAATACCATTTCTCTCAGCTTTCTTTCACCTCTTAATGCTGGTGATATCATTACTCTGAAACTGGGAGACCAAAGTAATAGAGCATTTCTGGTTGAGGGAGCAAGCTTTTTTGGAGCATTTTTGGTTAGCAGAGGTTGAGATATGTGATGTACACAGTCTTTACAGATACCATGGGTGAATAAAAAGTATTTGAAAAATTTGTAAAATTATAGACTTAAATTGCTACAAAGTAGTTGGAAAGATAAATTATTTGATTTATAGAGTTATAGGTTTGTCTGTGTCAGATAACTGGCACGTTAAATCAGATTGATTGAAAATTCCAAGATATGTCTCGCAGAGTTCACAGGATGCAGCAGTATTAGTTTTTTTTTTAATAAAACTGGCTTGCTTTATGTATTGTACACTTAATGTAACAGCCATTGCTATCTATATATTAGGTATTGAAAAGTTTGCTATAAGTTTATAAAACGACAATTAGTTGTAAAGATGATAAAAGTTGAAACTCTGTGCAGATTATAGCAAAACTGCATGTCATTGATTTTGCTATAGGTTCGTTGCATGTACCCTAGAATTCATAAAACTTGTTTGTTCCAGGAATTATAAGAAACTGGGAAGACGATCAAGGTCATGCGCACAAAATAGGTGGAATGCAATACCAAGATGGAGAACTGGTGATCTCTATGTCTGGAAGATACTATGTGTACAGCCAATTGTACTTTCAAGTAGAAGATGACAGACCACACCTGATTCATTATGTACATTTAAATAGAACTGGCAACGCAGAGGTCATTATGCGTAGTGTGACATCACGGTGTCGCGCCAAAAAGTCAAAAGTTTACCTGTACAGCAGCTATCAAGGTGGAGTGTTTGAGTTGCAAAATGGCGACCACATCATGGTTGGAGTGTCAGAAGATAACACCCAGGCGATAGCAAAGTATGAGTCAGCAAGTTATTTTGGAGCCTTCCTGATATGAAAATTGGTATGGAAAAAAATTGATTATTAATAGATACTTGTTGTATTAATCTTACTTGTAATTATGCACTTGCCACACTCACTGCAAGGCTTATGAGTTTCTCTCTGAAGTAATACATGTATTTTATCATGCCCTCGATTCTTCTTGTTAGAGTTGTCCAATATTAGAATTAATAAAAATAACCATCTGTAGTCCTACAGCTGCTTGGAGTTCTAGCAACAAAGATCAGCGGTTCACTTTTTTTTTTTGCTTGTGGCAAATGACACACTACAAAAGGAAGGTACCAGGTAAAACACTGTTCTGTTATTTTTCAGAACTGAATCTTTAACTTTCGTGATTGACACTTGGGGAAGAATTGACCAAGGTCAGGTAGATAGACATATAATAGGCTTTGTTGTGCTGCACTTTCACTTGCACCGTGCACTGTAATACTAACCAAGAAGCACATGACCAACCATTTTGGGTTGCAAGTAAAACCGTAAGATATCCAAACTGGAAGGAATAACCTTGGGTTAACTGGTAACAGTTGTTATGTATATTTTAAATGCGATCCACTGCATCAGTAAAGTTTCAGTAGCTCTGTTGAATTGATTAGTTTGTTATCGTACATCTGCCTTTCAAAAAAACAAGTGAACTCCAAAGGGAAAAAAGTCCAACTCTCAGGGTTTTCCTTAAGAATCAGTCTAGGTTCTAACTACTGAGGAGGCACTGGAAAAAATAATGCACTTAACATTCAAATGAACTAACTAATTTTAACTGTCCGTTATTGAACATTGGGTGGTGTAGTGCAATTTTTCAAGAATTCTAGTAATTGTTTGAGTGGTTTTGTGGTTATGGTTGTCCTGGTCAAGTTTTTTGCTAAGTACTGTCAGCTTTCACATCTACCGAGAGTAGCCTGATCATAATTGGCAAACCAACGTCCTAAAATATTGAATTGAGACCAATGTATGAACTACATGTACAACTTAGAGAAATGTATTGAAGGTAGAGGGTAGTTAATTGTGAGATCCCAGGAATTAAAGCTTTAAACCGTACAAAATTGTGCTGACGAAAAGCAAAGATCACTGTATTTCCCAGCAGGCTTCTTGTAGAGAGAGACCTGTGGAACAAGCCGCAACATTATAATGCTGAAGATGTGTTCCCATCAAAAAGGAGAAACAAAAAACAAAATCCATGTGGTCAATTTTCAATGAGTTATATCATTGGGTAGATTGTGATTCTGCAGTTATTTGGTCAAGTTTGTTGGGCAAGGATCAAAAGATTGAAACTTTACTTGGTGCAGTGTTGATCAGCATTAATTTTGCCACTTTTGTGACACAATTGTTGCCTCTATCAAGGGGCAGATGTGTTGATTATCAAGTAATCTTAATTTATTAACCGTAATAACATGCTAACATTCACCGTACACGGTAGCCATTTATCATAGAGTTTAGATCATTTTAACATCGGTGTTTTCACTTCACGAAATTGTTGAATTTTTATGTTTGTCACCTAAACTTGGAATTATGCAGTATTTAGTGGACAGCTTCGGTTCTCAGCGTTGGTTACAGCATACACTGTTTGTGGTTAAGCTTATTTTGTAGGCAGATCAAAATTAGCAGAATCATTTTTAGGGTGCTGTGTAATTCCACAGTTTTGACTCACTACTGCTGTTAGTTAACCTGCACTTGATTCTGAAATGATTAAGTTGACGACGTATGCTTCCAGTGTTAAAAGTTTTCTTAAATAGATATTCATTCAAGCTATCTTTTTTGACAATCACCCGTAGCCACATCGTCTTCCTTCCGAGAGGAGGCAGGCCTTCATTTTAGGTTTAAATGCTCTTAATGATTTCAATGATCCAAGCTTTTTTCCATCTTTCTTCCTCTTAGTATGTGTTCACTTTTCCTTTTACAATCATATCCTAGCTTAATGGTAACGACACAGTGATGCGTTCTACAGATTCCTAGTGGCAAGTTATCAAAAAAAAAGCCAAACAGACAATGAATTTGATATTCCAATTATTTTTATAGACTTCTTTTGCCTAAGCGAACATTCTAATTTGTATTAATCAGACTTTTTTACTACAAAGGACCAGCCGACACACTTCAGTGTGAAGTTTAATTAGGACTACTCATTTTCTACGTGCTTTTTGTAAGAGACTTCTTTTTCTGTTGTTATGGTTGTTTATTTTTACCGTATACTTAATGCATTAGTGCTGCATTCTGTGAACAAAGTGGATGACCTTCTTCCCAATCTCATGTTTTAGTATCTCCGATTCGTAAAGTACTAGTATTTTTAACGTAAATCTTTAAATTAAAGCCTAGAATTAATTAATTGAAAACATTACTGTTCTTTATAACAAAAATACAACCCTTACATAGAATAATTATTTTTGTTACTTATCTAGGTTAAACTCAGTATTAATATCAACATACACTCTTCGTAACAACAAGAGCTTGTTGAAGTACTAATCAGTGTTTCTGTTTATTAGACGTACTGTTTAAATGGAATTTTGAGTAGAATTATTTCTAAGAGTAATCAAGAAAAGGTAAAACTAGATGAGGTTTCAGTGAGGAAACCTTCAATATATTTTAATAGTGTAGATAGTAGTTCCCCTTTATTAAAAAATGAAAGACAAACTGAGATGTAGTTCCAGATTTCCAGTGGCTTCTTCCTCCCCCTCCTCCTCTCTCCCCCTCCTCACTCTTACGTCTGACGAGAGGGGATCATCACAACGAATGAGAGTTGTTAGACTGTTACCATCGAAGCGTATCGGAGATTCTGGAGGAAGCCAGCTTGATATTGTATCCGTCAAGGGGGTTTAATTCATTTTAATTCATCCTTTTATCGAATATGCAGAATACTGAAATAGTATTTTAGAATCTATACTTGAGATCAGTCTTGAGTAGTTTCCTCTCTGGGTGTTGTTCATCCATGCATATCAACCCAGTTCTTAGCAATTTACTATTTTTAAACAAATTTTGACAGTTAAGATTCACTAGACCCATTGGGATGTAATCAAATTTTTCTAGTCATTTTTTAATATGCATTCCTTTGTAAATTATTTACATTAGAGTGGGGATTTTTGTACAATATTTTTGTATTTTCAATGTTGCGCATGCATATTTTTGTACAGTGACTTTGTGTTTCCAAGATAGGTTGTTAAGAAAGTCGCCAACAAATGTTTTATTGTGTTTAGATAGAGGTGGACTGCTTTACTTCAAGCAGTACCAGTGTATGGTTCTTGGGAACAGTCTCTAAGTGCTTTTAATTCTTAAAAGCTCCTCATATATCTGTTCTGTACTTTATATGTCGAGATCAGAGGCCATCACAGGCTGGAATCCTAACTTTAAACTTCATTTTTAAAAAAATCTGCCTTATGAATCAACATCTTTGCGGAAAAATTTATTCACACGAGAAAAGACAAATAAGTTTTTTTTTTTTTTTTTTTTTTTTCCGCGTCGCGTTTTTCAATTTATCTTTATAGTTTATTTTCACGCCTGTGGTGATTCTCTTTCTCGCATCTTCCTTTCGTGATGATTGGAAGTTGGTACGAAGCAGAACTGCCAGCTTTAGTTTGCCTTATGAGTCGAAAATGAAATATACTTGGGCTCGGATAGTCTTGTATTACAAAGCTGGTAATAAAATGTTGTATTATTATTGACGACATGGTTCTTCACTTTCTGGAAGTATTCCCCAGCCTAGATGAACATGCAAACCTCCCCTTTCCAATCGTATAAATACTGTGGCTAGGAGACACTGATGTCTCTAATCTCTTTAGTTTTGTTGTGGTTAAAAGGCATTGGGACGAGAAGAGGCTACATGTTTAAGTGCTGTTTGTTCAGGCTTCACGTAGAAACAAAAACACCCCCCCCCTTACATAATTGTGCTTTTGTTTTGAGGGCTAAGTGAGTCCTCCTTGTGAAATGGAATCCAGACCTACGCGTGTTGTGATGCTTTAGTAATAAGCACAGAGCATGATGGCGAGCTTGCCGTCAGCTTTGGCCTTGTTAACTTAGGAGTTCTGGATAGCTTAGCTACAGAGCATCAGACCTTAACTCAGAAGGTCTGGGGTTCGATTTCCTCTTGGAGAAAAAAGACCCTATGATAATACGTGACTTCGCCTTCCTTAGGTCACTTCCCGAGCACAGAATTGTTGCATTTGTGCCAGCACGATAAACATGTCCGAGAACAACCGCAAGGGACCGATCGTACATCACGTACTGTCGCTTTTAAACACGCTTTCAAGTGATTTTGTGTCGACGATAGACAGAATGTGACAAAATTTAGGAGCAATGCGAAAACGCTAGCGTAGATGGAAATATTTCGATTCTTTCATCTACAGACGATAACTGTCACTTATTCGACAATAAGTGACACCTTGGCACAATCTCAACGGAGGGCGTGGTCTCTGGTGGGGAGTCCTACAGATTTCTTTGTTTGTCTTTTTTTTGTTTGTTTTTGTTTTCTTTTTTTTACCTCTAATAACAATCCAATAATTTTGAGTTGGGTTAACCAACAGAAGCTTCCCACAATCCTGGTTAATCTTATTGGCTATGCTACTTATCATCTATTCTGTGTAAGGTAGTAAATAAATCAAATTGAGTAGCCTGACGTAATGCGGTTTTATTAAAAAAAGAAAAAAAAAAGGAACAAAAATTAAGTCTTATTAAGCTTCCATACTGAGACGACTACAATGGTTTTTTTAACTGTCTGGGAGTACAATTTGGTCTTAAGTCATGCGCATGACTTCAGTGTTGCCTTCTCGTTGGCCGGAAAAGAGATGCGATTTTGTGCAAAAAATAGTGCGATCCGGGAATAAATCGCACTGCTGAGAGTCAATCAGATTGCAAGGATCACCAGTGATTTTCAAAATGGAAGTAATAACTTATAACAGGAGCCCATAATGGGCTCCTGCCTATAACAACGCTCTAGAGCTCTATGCGTGATTACCACGTAATAGAAATCTCGTGCTCATAATCTACTTGTTGCCAAGAGATTACAGATTATATTCTCCCGGTTGTTTACATCTTGCAACACCAGATGGAAGCATTGATCGAAATTTACCACTTCAAAGTCTGGTTTAGTGCGCAGACATGGCTGGAACAAGGAGAATTTATCAGAATCTTATCCATGGTCTGTCGTTATTGATTTTCTTTATTTGTCTATTAACTATTTCTTTTAAATAAATTCACAATAATCAGGATTAAATCGAGTCGACCTCTCTCACGGTGCTTCATTTTTTCCCAATAAAGCAGTTCTACTCAATTTTCCACTAGGATCTATGAATCAACGCGAATGATCATAAAGCCCCCCCACCCCCACTCCCACCCACACACAGACACGCACACACCACAGCCACCCTCATTAAATATCGCAGCCGTGTCCCTGTAAAAAATCAATATAAAAAATGGGAAATGTACCAAATTAAGTACAAAGAAAGTGTTACATTGCACTCACGATCGAGGATTGATCAAACCACGATCTCTTCTACGAATATTCAACAAGACAAAAATCTTAAGGTCGTTATTTAAGAGCGAGGGGTGTCCCATCGTCTGATCAGAAAACAGACGTTTGCTTATCGGGATAAAATTTACAGGTCGTAAGGTCAACTCTTTTGTAAACGAACTAAATTTTTTTCCCCATGAGAAGTTAACGGACGGTGTGATTTTCACGAAATCAACAGCAGCTTAACTCGTGCGGCTTGCAAGGTAATTTAAGTTTCATTCTTTGTTTCGCATGACCGGTGCTAAGTGGCCGTTGTCTCCTAGCAGAGCGAATTTTTCTTCCTCCTCCACATAGCTAAAAATATAGCCGATTATCTGAAACTCTTAACCACCAAAATATGAGATAAATGGAAACGATCCGAAGCATCTGAGCCATTCACAAATTCGGCAAGAGACTTCCGTGATACTTGCATTACGCAACACGATACCCATCGGCGTGCAGCGTGACAAAAAAATTGACTTGCAAATTACTGGTTTGCTTTTGAATTCTTAAAAAAGAATAAATTTATTTGAAATGCACATTTGGTTACGAGTCCAATCGGAGAAGCGTCGTTTTTAGAAGGCCGTAGATCCAACTTTCCCTGCAGCTCCTTCCCTGTGTGACAGGTAGCTGGGTGCCGTAAGTTCCTGATCTTGAACCTTGCTCGGGAAGAGCGCGTGAGAAAGCTTAGAATCGGACTGCACGAAATATGGCGAGCACAACCGTGATTCATCAACCAGGACTTAGCTACCAAAAAGAGTATTCCGGCTCAGTTCAGTACATCGGTGGCTATGACGAAGGAGACGATGGAGACGTTTTTTCTCCTCAGAAAAAGGGAGCTGACAACGGGCAGCCAATTCCGATGGGCTTGGAGGTGTTTGAGAATGTCAGCAAGTTAGTTGCCCATCAAAATGTGACCGACGATGAAGGTAAAAAACAGTTTAATTGTTTCACGCCTCGTGCTCTGTCTTTTAACATGCTGCACACCGAGAGGCCGTGGTTTCAATCAAAGAATCTACAAACCAATAAAAGCGACTGAATTATAAAAATCTTCCCTGATCACCGAGAAGTTCCCTCAGCAGGTTAGCTTACGACAGACAGTTGTTGTTTAGGTTTCAGTGAGTACATTGGGCGTTAATGTCGAGTTTCACGGCGGTTAACGCTCGATGTTGTGCTATCTAACGACATAAAGAATAAAAATCAGAGCTAAAATTAGCTCCGACGACAGAAAATCAAATAAGTCCTTGTCCTGCCAGCAATTTAAACTGATTTTGTACGACGCGCTGGCGTGATACGAAAGTTCGAACAATTTTGAATGATCTACACGAACCAGTCGCCCAAGAATGAACATTCATGCAAAGCATTTCTTATCTGGGATCTGAGCGGACATGAATCACGCCTTTTAAAAGTGAAATGTTGCGGAAAGGCACCCACGCAAGCATTTTCACTTCCAAAAGAGCTTAAATTAGTTTGCAAGCAAAACGGACCACGAGAAAATTAGTCGCGCCGACTCGATAAGTTTATTTCAAACGGAAACATTCCTTCAATAAATGGAGACCTCACAAGTGACGCCGTACTGTTGCAAATCAATTTGTCATAGTTTCAAGAATCACATAATGTATTTATCGAACACAACTCTTTTTTTTTTAATGATCTTCGAGGATTTCGTAAATCAGAGGTAAATACGAGATATAAACCGTAAGGTACGCATCCGTGACAAGACGGTAACAGTACACCCCGAAACACGAATTCTTTCTAACAAAGTGTCGATTAATTTGCTTCAAATTAAAAATGCTGATTTCGAGCGATAGCAATTTTCAAAATTTTAACATATTTGTTTTCATGGGATTCGCGTGAGTTGAACATTACAAATCTCAACTCCACTTAAGTTAAGAGATCAGAATATGTTTTAATCCAGAGGCAAATATAGCTTATTCTATCCGTTACTTTTGTATATTCCTGTTTGAAATTTACGGTGCTGCAAATAAACGAGCGTTTGGATTATGAGTTAACTGTTTGCGCTTGGATAGAATTCAGGAAGTTTACAAGACTTTTGTTTAGCTTTCGCTATTTAACTTTAGTCGTTTAGTTTTCCAGCCTCTTACAATGCTTTTCATAAAAAAAAAAAAGCTGTCTCATTCAAGGCCGTCTGCATATGCTAATATATATAAATTAGGTTTCCAACTCGCGTGAAGTTTAATAATGGAAAAGTACTGTCTGGACGTCAAAACACAGTTTACACTGTTGCTGTTTTTGTTGTTGCTGTTTTAAATTGTACGTTCTGATATCAGCTGTCTTCTGGGAAACTATATTGTTACAGAACTCGTATTTCTTTAGGACATACTTCAGACATATTAGTTGCATGAGGTAAGAGTGTTCAAATGAGTAATTTTCTTCTTATCTTCATCGACATGACAGATGTCAAATTCCCTGACATGTCACTTATCATCGGCTACGAGTATGTGGAAAACTTGTTATTAACATTTTGGTTCAGAATACATGTCTTATACAAAATAAAACATTATGTACAATTCACAGAATAAGACAGCTATAAGACAGAGGGGTCTGTCTTATAGCTTTTAGAGCTGACACAAATATTCACATCTTAATTTTGATAAGTTTCCTAAAGCCTCATAATCAACCAAACATCAAAGGTGGTTTTTTTAACCTTTCACTCTATTTGTTTTTTCCTTTTCAACTGTCATTGGGTCTAATATTGAAAAACAAATACAAAACACAAAAAACAGATCAAGAGACAAGTATAACTTTCTCTTCATACAATTGAAATATTCAATTCCTCACTTTTTAAGTGAAAGAACTAATACATAGCCCATCACATAACAAAAGTTCTATGCCATTCAATCAAAGTGTATTTACTAAGCATTCATTATTACTTAAAACCTTATAAATAATTTGCTATGAGGCACAGACTTAACTGTGGAAATATAACAGCAACTTTTCACTCCCATAGTAAGCTAAAGATCTGTAGGATAAATTTTGTGTTTGGTTTTTGAGTGGTCTCCAATGATTTCCTCACAGAAATGAAGATGGATTATGCTACCTCTACCCCACAACTGTTTCATGAGGTGCATCTTGAAAACTATGCATTTTAACCTTACTCACTGTTTACACTGCATATCAATTTCAGCTTGGTGGGGTCGTATGGACTTTAGCATC